TTTTCAACATGTGCGATGCCTGCGAAGTGAAACAAAAAGGTCCCAATTTGTATATTTAGCAAACAAACATACCAAATGGGCAATAAAACCGGCGTTCGCGGTAAAAATGTAAATTTCAAGAGGAATTTTGATCAGCAGGTGCAAAACAAAGGGCGTCGACACCCACACTTCTCCTCATATTCTTCCAATTACCGCCGAGAGAGCTCCCGTGTTGCGCTCAGAGATAATAAATCGAGTCATAATCAGTGCGAATCGCAGGAGCAGCAACACCTCGGCTGCAGTTTTACCCGTGTTCGCCGCCGCTTTTTTTCCTCTCGTGCACGGCAGCAATAATAATGCATCAATCGCGCGCCTGCCTCTGCTGCATGTAGGTGGTATGTTCGCCGTATAGACACTCATTAAAAGCGTTGTCAGCGCACTTTTAACAAGCTCAAGTGTCCCGGCGGCCATTAGAAGAGCGACCGGCCCTTTTCTATATATAAAATAATCTTATTATTTGCCGGGGCGCGAATCATGACTGCGCCAAGACGTGCTACATTGTCCCGCCGCTGATTAACTGCAATAACAACACCTCGCCTGCCCGCCTGATGGATTCTTTAATTAAACAGCTCGCAATGAGAATCGGGAAATGATCAACAAAAGCATGAGTGTCTTTAATTAACACAACCTGTGCAGTCCAATTTCCAATTCCGCGTCGACTTCGCACAGCTGGAGTGTTGGAAAAAAGTTTTTGCTCTTGTTTTGCAATCCAGGTGCTCGGCAGTGCGAAATCTTTGTATATAATATATCCTCTCTCTGCTGGGAGTGGACACATTTCACGACTCCCATGCGGATCCTGTTTTATTGCGCAATTCACGCCGGTGCGTCTCGAGCTTCCTCCGAAATGGATTCAATGGTCAATGGGGCGGCGGCGGTGGTGGTGGCGGGATTTAAATGAGCGTCTTTTTCATTTCATAGCGACACATCGATTCGAACCCGCCCCCTGGGAAAACCTGTTTGCGATAAAATGCAGCACAAATACCCCTTTAATAAATGGTGGCTATTATACACATATTATATTATCCGTTTCTTAGTGCGGCGCATAAATTAAGCCGCGACGGACGCTTTTGTGCAGGAAACTCCCTCAAACAAACGGAGCGTCTCTCTCAAAAAGTGGCTGCTTAAGTCTCAATGAAGCAGATTCGCACCTGGAACGCTCGCTCCAGATGTTATTAACAATAAAAGCAGTAATGAAATAAGCTGGATGAAATCAGAGCTTGAAAATTACTTCAAAACAATCCATTACTTTATTTGAAAAAATAAAAATTAAGACTAAAGTATTGTTTAAAAAATTTTAATTTTTTTCTAGAAGTAATTTACAATAATTACAATTATTCTATTCGTCGTGATTTATTATTAAAAAAAAATGCAGTGATGAGTTCATGAAAATCAAGTTCATTTACAAACTATAAACCTATCGGTGCTCATTCAAGATTTTCTTAAGATACGGAGCAACAACATTGTTCCCAACATTTACATTTCGATACTTTATCATCAACGTTGTCTTGAACAAGCCATAAAAAAAATTGAACGGGAGAGATAATCAAAGGAGCCCTGCAGCCAAAACACCCAAATCGAAGAGAAAATCGCCCGTGCAACGTGAACGAGAAGAAATAAATATAAAGAAAATTCAGCGATCATAATCTGTGTTGAAAATGGAACATCTCCTCGGATTTCCTGTCTCCGAGGGGGTGTGTTTTATGCCCCATTCAGCCGGAGACAATGTTTACGACGCGAGTAAAATGAGATAGCGCTCGCGCACACACGCGGGGCTGATCTCTTTTTCTCCTGCACATGTACAACATTGCATTGCAGCACTCCTCGCAGCTTCCACTCTCTGCGTTCCCACGGTCTCGAAGCACGCGACTGTAGCGGCGTGTGACGGGCCTCCGTCGTACTAAGCACACACTTCTTCTTGTTCTTCTTTTCCATCGTGCGTCGAGCAGCAGCAGCTCGACATACAAATTCATTAACCCCTTGCCTGCCTTTGTCACAATATTTGTCGGCCCCGCCATCAAAAAACGCGCCGCCGTCCCGAGAGTGTGGTTTTACGCGCCGACTTTAATTGACAGATCACCATCTTTCCTCGACGTCCCCTTCTTTAATTTTTTATTATTAATTCTCGATATCAGCCAAAGGAAGTGACGGGCCGCGTGCATATTTCGCCTCCGAACACACGCCAGCCGCATTGCTAATAAGAAAACGTTGCAAAATGCTTTTGATACAACTTCGGAGCCTCGATTGTCTTAATTAATGACGAGCGGCACGTTTTCGTTTTGATGATGAGAGGTTGAAATTAGCAATTCCTGACGGAAACTAATCGCGTGTGGAGGAGTAGAGGGGCCCATCAAAATATTTACATTATTTTCATCATGAGAATGTTTGCTAGAATAATTATCTATTTTCGCTTAGAAATTTTAAATTATTTCTTTGCATTTTTTAATTTACTTCATCTTTCATAATTTATTTTTATGGTTAAAATAGAATTCATTCATATATATTTCCGCCTCACTTCTCACTTGTGCCTCCTCCTCCTCTTTGATCAGCGACCCATTAGACAAGTGGTGCGCCACAAGTGCTCCCTTGCAAAAAATCTTGGCCGTTTCTTAAACTGCCTCTCGTCGGCGCAAGTGGCTGCGACGATAAATGAATTCATTCGTGATGACGTAATACAACAAAGCTATGTTTGCGTCGGTCGACTCGACGCCGAACCAGAGAGCAGGGGCCACGTGGTCGTCTCCGCCGACACATGACATTTTTATTAGAGAGCAGACCCCGCCGCAGTCATAATAGCCTAGCTGACGATTTGACTCAATGAAGAAAGATTGGCGACGTCCGCTTGTTCGCGATACATATACGAACATTAGACATTATAGTAGGTCAGCCGATAGATAGAGACATTATTTCATTTGCTCAGTTAAGTCTTATAAAATTAAGCTATAAATTACTGCAAACATTTATAATTAAAAAAAAAATGGAATTTGAATTTGAAGTTGATTTATCATTGATGGGTTATTGCTTATGAAAAAAACAATACTCTTCATGTTTTGGCTGCAACCATTATTCATGAGCTGTGAAATTATTTTGGCAAAAATAAGTACATTAATTAATTTTAATTATAAAAATATTTTCATCCAATAATCAATTTTCCTCAAAAATTCTTTTCAGTTATAGCTTTTTTCTAAGATTTAACAATTTAAATTCTAATCAATTATGAATCAACCCTCAATCTACTAAAAAATTTGTCATTTTAAATTGATTTTACCAAACGTGAACATATAATTACGGTATAAATAATTTATTATTAAATCCCAGAACGAATCAAATTTATTTCAGGTTTCGCCAAAGGTCGAAGGTCTCTGTTTGGACGCAGCCACTGCTAATTAAATCAACCCGTTCACCACAAATTCGGCACACACGACCGCTTTTGCTTGCTTATTAATTTTGAAAGGCCTCTTCATTGATTTGTCCTGTCCGATAACATTCCCGGGCGAGATTTAGCGTCTCGATTGCTCCCGTCCTTACGACATTTGTGACCTCTCGCTCGCCAATTTAGACATACTTTCCCTTCAATAGCAATTTTTATACATATTGGAAATTAATCTCGTGTTTTTCCTTTTGGCATGCGGACACAACAAAGAGGCTCGTTACTTCATTTCTCACACCAACATCCTTCTCACAAATCATGCCGAGAGACACGTTAATACGGATTTATTTGCGAAAAGACGGCGGCGCGTAAGTCGGTGTACTGCAATCATCTCTCAATAAATCTGAGAAACACCTCCGCTCCGACACCGCCAATTGCTGAGCTGCAACAAGTATGACTGCGCCGCTCGTAATCTCCGCTCAATACAAACATATTCGAAATAATGAGATGCAACCTCGAATGACCTGCGAATTCAATTTTTAACATGCAGCCTGCGTTTTTAATTAAGCAGAATGTATATCGGAATCAAAGAGAGAGAAACACGACTGGTGGAGAGAGAAAAAAAAGATGCAGCGAACGATCACGTACGGCGCGCGCATATTTCCAACCATTGTGTTTCGGAACTGCATTTTTCGTTCGCTCTCGGGTCCGGCGAGCAAAAAACAAACAAGAGGATAATAAATTATGGCCGCGCTGTTAAAATTCCATTTGAATGAAAATGAGCAGCTCTTTTGTTCCCCGCGGCCGGGCGGATAAATGAGACTCCTAGTCCGGCGGAGGAAAAAATCCGTGCATTTATTATTTCGAGCAGCAGCGATCCGAGTGTGTTTGCTACCTGAATATTTAATTAACTCGTCCGCGAAGACCCACGTTCCTCTTTTCAAGAGAGATGAAGCCACGGTTCCAATGTTAAACCATAATTAATATGGGTTGCGCGTCGCGCCGAGCTGTAACATGTTGTACGTCTAGAGGCGCTGTGCTTACCAAAAGAACACTCCTCGCGATCTGCTGTGTACTTTGCATTAAGCAGCATGCAAATTGTATTATTATGATCGGCAGTTTAATAATATTGACTCAGCCTAATGACGTGCTGATGAATTTCGAACACACGGCGCGCCACGCACTCTATAATTTTAATGCAAACCTTTGAACCGTGCCAAAAGTTTAATTGAGCCACACACTGTGCACCGATTGAAATTTATTTCTGATAAAAAAACACTTTCATATTATTTGTCAAAATTGTTACATCACATTGTTTACATTCAATTGTTGAAAACAATTTATGTTAAGAAGAAAATATGAATTTTTGACAAAACGGCAAAACACTAGCAAGAGTTTTGCTAAAATTTCCGAGATCAAAAAGAGCAATGAGCCTCGGTTGACTTGGTTTTTGTTCTTCTCGTGTCAATTTTATTTATCATAATATTTTTTTAAAAAAAAGAGATTTGAATGCTTGCAATTTGAATTTTTGCTTACATCAATTTATTTTCTTATAATTTTCTTTCTAACCACCTCATTTTAATCCTTGTTTCAGTTGCACGAGCAATTACCTGGGCGAGTACTGTCAGCATTTGAACCCGTGTCGCAAAGGAAACGGAATTCAGCCGCAATGCCAGAACGGCGGCGTCTGCAAAGTGAAGGAGGAGCCCGGGAAAAGCGCACCCTCGTGGAAGTGCGAGTGTCCCGTCGGCTTCACCGCCTCCCTTTGCGAAATCGCGCAGCCCAACGCGTGCGACAGGATGCCGTGTCGGAACGGCGGCAACTGCGTCCTCAAGTCCCTCGACAGATACGTCTGCAATTGCAGCAACGGCTACGCAGGTGAGAAATTATTTCTGCTTTTATTTTGAAAATAAAAATTCAAAATTCTATTCAAATTTTCTTTATAATTAAAAAAAATTATGATTTTATTTAGGTCCGCACTGTGAACTGAAAGATCACTGTGCGAAGTCCCCGTGCAAGAATGGTGCGACCTGCACGTCCTTGAGGGACACCTACCGGTGCACCTGTCCTTCGGGCTACGTCGGGAAAACCTGCGAAGACGACGTCAACGAATGCCTGATCATGGAACCGTGCGTCAACGGCATGTGCTCCAACACGAAAGGGTCGTACCAGTAAGTGCAATTTTTTCCCATTTTTTTTTTTTAACCGGATACTCGCGAATCAAACGGATAATTTCCTAATCGGACGCGCCAGAGCGGTTTTCCCATGCGCTTGACATTTCCATCGCGGGTAATTTCATCGCCGCTGAGCAAACAAACGACGCGGTCTTTTTTTGCACGGTGTTCGCCGACCTCTGCCAAATTCCGGATCGGTCTCACTGTCAATCGGTTGGTTCGGACGGAAAGTGCGCGGCAGCCAGTTCCCATCACGAGATCGAGACACCTCCGGGCCACCGCGTTGACCTTTGGCGGCCAAAATTACCAGCGACGGCGGCTTCCACTTTTACGATTGCACGCGGCGGCCCGAGTAATTATCATGTTTTCTCACCGAATTTTCCGAATTCCTGTCGTGCTCGCGTTTTGCCCAAAGGCGAGCGTGGCGTTAAATCGATCACTTAAAAAAATAGAAATGTGAGAACTGATTTGATTTAGAATTTGAAGATGATTGTGATATGCCAGCAAAAATAGGTATTTTATAAAGTTTAACCCCAAAAAAAGTAATAAAGAAAAAAAATTGAATTTGGCGGGGCCTTCTGCACAGGCCAAAGACTAGGTCTTGATCTGACCGAAATTAAAAAAATAGAAAAATAAATTAAATTTTACTTTTGTAATAAATTCATAATTTCATTTGTTTTGCCTTGACCAGAGGTGAAATTTCAATCGGCGGCGAGCCCATTTGCTAATAAATTACCCGCGTCAAAACCTACTGCAAAAGGCTCTCGAAGAGAAAGGTGGAGAAAGGGAGGAGCTGTTGCGCTTGTAAAGCCAGATCAGAATCGTATACTCGGTTTATTTATAATTTAACGCGACCGACTCCACACCATTTCGTTCGTCTCACCGAAAAAAATCTCTAGCTTCCTCCGCAACGTGAAATCGCCTCCGGTTATATCTCCGAATATTACCGCCGGTGCGCGCGGCTGTATCATTATATTTTCTCGGTACCCGCCGACCTTTTTGAAAAGAGTTTAGAACGCCTCGCGGGCGCCCAGCATATGCTCTACAAATATAGCTGCCGGTTGGAAGGAGGACTCGTCTTTTTTTACCGACCAAAACGTCTCGTCAGATTAGAATTGCAAATCTTGACCATAGTGAAATTACTTCATTTCATCTCGACCCTTCACTTTGATCGAAATTAATTTCCAGTTCCGGGAGCGCTTCAGATTCGTTTCCCCCAAAATAATTTGCCGGTGCAAATTTTGACCTCCGACGACGCGCCGCTTTGTTCTCTTGCTTGGCTTGTCGGAGCCGGCATTGCGTGATTCCATGTATGGCCAGGCTGGAAACCGGGCTGTTCTTTTTCTGTGATAATTCTCTCCAATAACCTGATGTCCTCCAATCGAGTGCGCATTCGGTTCGAGAGCGGCGCGGTAAATCATTTTAGAAAATGAGCCGCTTTCGTGGTTCGTACACCATTATCATGCAGCGAAAGAAGTATCTCTCTCTTCTAATTGTGCAGGTCGCCTCGGGTATTGCACGATTTTGAGCAATGAACTTTTCAACTCGTTATTTGTCGGCGCAGAGCAATTTCCGAGCACACTCGCTCACAAAGAACTCTATTTAATTTTATTTTTTTTATCCACCTCGTCCTTTTTTACTCGTCAGGAGATTATCATTATCGTCATTTTGAAAGCTCTAATTTAATCTGCTGCTGCCGTTCGTTGCATCAACTCTCGTCTGGCGGCGGCAGTCATAATAAATATACCTCAGTTTCCATTCCCTACCAACGACAGAGCATGTCATTGTTTGGCCTGCTCGAGTTTCAAACCAACCGGCTAATTAACTTGAGAAGATGCAACCGACGGGTCAGAATTGGTCTAATTTTTTAGATGCTACCGCAAATGAAAGGGTAGAGAGAGCAAGAGCTGCACCTCCATCATTACATAAAATTGTAAAAAAAAATAGGATCTCTGGTGGTCCCGAATTATCAAAATATTTCAGTAAAAAAAAATATTAATTTAAAAACACCCTGGTTCAGTTGAAAATTGTTAAAAATAGAGTTTTCTCCCTTTTAAGACATTTGAATAAAAAACAAATTTTAATAAAAATAATTTGATAAAAAGAATTTAATACGAATTTTTGTTCACGGATTATTATTTGCAAATTTTATTTGTCCATGATAATAAATGTCCACTGGTGAAATCGGCAATTGCTGGGGTGGTCCTTGGCCCCAGCAAGGGAAGGGGCGACCTTTGCTTCGCGGGCGATAAATGCAAATGAGCCGCGAGCCCGCGGCGTATGGACGGAGCCACGCAGCTCTGCAGTGACTCCCACGTCTGCCGGCCCGAGTCGTGACCCGTGCACGTGACCCCTCGCAGGCTCGAAAGGCGTGGTGCCGACGTGATCGTGATTGTGACGTCACGCCGGTGCTTTTCTCACCACCAGCCCCGTGGCGCTTTCCGAGATGATGGCGGGTCTTTCGTCTTTCGCGGGAAAATATGTCGGCAATGCCAGCCGCGAAATTGCAGGCACGACGAGATGATGATGCATGCATGGGCTCGGTCGCGAGCGAACTCTTTTTGTGCATGAATAAACAATAAAACCAACATTCCTTTCTAATTTTTCATCGATCGATTTTCAACCGAGATTTTACGACTTCCTCGTCAACTTGTAATAACGGAACAGGTCGGGCCGCCTGCTGAGTTTTCTGCCAAACTTTAACGATCTTGCTTGCTCGGGATCAGCATAATTTTTCACCTGCGTGGCTCATACTTTCCAACAATTTGTACACTTCAGAAAAAGTAAATTAAATTGCTCTCTCAGCTGGATGTTAATTTTTAAATTTTTAGTTCCGCGAGGTAAATTAAATTATCAATTTCGCCCTGGCGTTTTCAGAACCATTAAGATCGAAAATTGAAGAGTAATGAATGGCTTTGGGTCTTAAAGGAAAACGCCCAAAACTCTAAAAACCATTAATCTGAGGCTTAATCAAGTTTCTTTGTGCAAATTTCCCGTAAATAATCACCCCTCGCCTGCTATAAATCCTGCCGAATTTTATCATTCAGCGAGTTTAATTTGACTTTGGGCGTCTCTTTTTCTCCCGACTGAATTTATTTTTATAATTTTCATACGCCCACGCGCACTTGTTCATCGCCGCGCGCACTTGGGTTTTTTTATAATATTTTTTATTGCTCCAACACAACATTTTTATATGCCGACCGTGCCGTTCGTTTTGTCTTGAGAGCGTCCAGAATTTTTATATATTTTACGACTTGAGAAGAAAAAAAACCGTAGAGCTATAAATTATAAATCATACAAAAGTTATATTTAACACTTCTGCGCGATCTCCGAATCCGCCTCATTGTTGTGCAACGGCAATTACTGCATCCTGACTTTTTTCTGCTCAAAAGGTAGCAATTATATAAAACCTGCCGAATTTTATATGTGAAAATCAGATCAGCAAGAGTCAAAGTGCGATATAAATTATGGTAAAATAATACCGGTCGGGCATTAATTACGCTTCGAATTAGTCGCGCTCACGTTTCTGCTTTTGGCCTGCGGGCGCGACTGACGGACTACCCGTGTTGATTAATTAAGGATGAGAGAAATTGCTAATCCGCTTGCATTAATTTGTCCGACCACCTTCGCCCCGAGAGAAAATTCGCCGCGATGGATTCAAAACAACCTGGTTTCGTTCTCACACACTCGCGCGAGCAGCTGCCGCCGCCGCGCACAAAAAGAGCAAAACGCCCGCGTGCAAAGGAGAGAGTTGCTGTTCCAGATGACCAGAGCAAGGAGCAACGCAGCATCCAAGATGCTTTTTTCACATTACATGGTACGACCTACATTATTCGACCATTCCTGGTGCCTTACAGTGTGCAGGGATGGGCGGGTCGTGTTTTACATTTTGGAATAAATTGAATGTGTGTTTGCCCTTTGACAGAGAGTGAAACGAGAGCTGGATTTTATTTAAAAATGGGCGGGCTGCGGCTGGACAGGAAAGAGCAATTCATCGTGTTTGATTTTGGTGTCTCCGGAAATTGCTACCAATTGATTTTTAAATTGTATATATAAAAGTTTGGTAACAAAGAGGTTTAATTTGTTGATAAAAATTACCAAAAATAATTTTTTTGTTTGTTTATATCTCCTATTGTTAAATAACATTGTTGTTGTTTACATTCAATGTTTGAAAAAAAGAACAAAAACCAAGTCAACCCAGAAGTTTTAGCAAAAGTCTTGCTAGTTGGTGGTAACGTTTTGTCCAACATTTAATTCATTTTTTCTCAAATAAATTGCTTTCATCAATTGAATGTAATAATTTGGACAAATAAACAAGGATAATAACAATAAATAAATAAATAAAGGAAACTTGGAATTTTTTCATTAAAAAAGAAACGGGGGTTTCCATTTATTATTTCCATCCAAATTGTTCTAGATTTTAATGTCAGTTTTATTTGCTTTGTTGCAATTTATTACGACGACTGTTGTGCAAATGCTTTGAAACGAAAACAAAGCTCCACATTACGGTACAAAATCATTTCCAGCTCACGTTCTGCCCGTTCTCATGCCGGCCGCGTTTCCTAATTTTCTTTTAAATAAAATCTTCTCTTGGCTTCTGCCAATGAAAATGCAAGCATATTTGCATAACCGATTCGAATTCGCTAATTAACAGGAAGTGTTTAGGCAAATCAGCTCGTCGGATTACGCGTGCATTCAACTTTCCAAATGTACCAGACGCGCGCGCTCATGATATGGAAATAGAAGGTAATTGAATCAAACCGGAGAGTGAGTGACCTCACAATTGAACGGCGCAAGTGAAAGACCGCGGCTTTGCATACATATTGCGAAGGTGGGGCCTCGAGAGTTGAAAAATATTAATGTGAGCTTGCATGTTTCCATTATAATGTACCGCGTAGCCTACTTTAAGATAGAACTCGACACATCATGGAAAAGAAAGAAAATAATGCAGATAATGACCATTAATTTTAATTAAAACGAGCGGCGATCTCGTGTCGGGCAAAAGAGAGAGGGAAATTACTTATCCTTTTATTTACTCGCCCAACCCGAGACGCAAAAACATTTTATTCTAATTACCCGAGCACTTGGTGATTAATTAAAATGCTTCAGATCAATTGTTTTAATTAAAACGCGTCGTAATTGGCCACTTTTCGAGTGTTGTGCCATTATTATTATTATTATCATCGTACCGCGTGCCGGGATTTATAAAAATTCGTGTAGGAATGTCCGTGTTGGCAAAAGACACTCGAGACGGAGGGAAAATTATTATCGTCCGAGTGCATCATCGTTTGCCGCCGCCGCGCGTGTGATTGGAGCGTTCTCAGCACTTTTCTTCGATTATTATTTGTGTCCTCGGGCCGTTTATTGGTCGGGATAAGAGTCGTGCCGCGGTAATAACCCATGCACGACCCGAAATTGTTTCCATCTCATCCCGCCGGTGTTTTATTTTTCCGTCCGCAGCATTATTCAAATTACTGCTCGACCGACGTAATTGGTCATTGTGTTTGTTTGCTCTAATGCGAATTTTTCGCTAGATCCGCCGGCCATCGGCGCTCTCCCTGCTCAATTATGTGCTCGTTTTCTCGCCGTTTGACTTTGTTTGGACCGAATGCATAGCCTTTGGACATTTGTTAAAAGGAAATTAGATAATTTAGCAGCAAAAAATGTTTATTGACTCATCACAAAGGCAGTATAATTTATATCATTATAGATAATTCAAATAAGTAAAAACAAATTCTTTTTAAAAAATTTAAAAGCTTTATAGATTTTTGCTACACCAAATTAAAATATAAACAATGAAAATAAGGTATTTTTATATTTCCTAGAAAAAATTTTACCGTTAAAGGCTAAATTGGCCTGTATTTTTAAATATTATTGTTCTCACTATTCTCCTCCTTCATTAATTAAGAAATCTACCAAACAAATTCTAAGTAAAATCTTAGAGAAAGTCTAGAAATATATGAATTGACTGTTTGAAAAATCAATTTCGCTTGGGATTTTTGACGTATCGTGAAAAAATTGGCTGTCAAATTTTATCTGATTGGTCTCATCATCTCGAATTTACGAGATAATTTTTTCACTACCGCAAATCTGTCTGGAGGAATAAATTTTGCCAAAATAAATATTTCTATTTTCGTCCGTAATATTTATTTATTCTGTCGATCCAAAATACACAACGACCGCAAACTTAAATGGCTCCAATCGAAAGGAAAAGTTTGCAAGTCATTCCATCGTCTGCAGGCGCAGCGAGGTTCGTTAACTCTTTTTTGATATGGCAAAAAAAAGAAACCTTGAAAGTGCTGCCGCGTTTTCGCGCTACGTAAATTAATATTTTCGGCAAAAGTCTTCTTCTTCTTCTGCCGTAAAGTTTGTCGCATCCGAGAGATGGCTGCTGCGAGATTAAAAGTCCTATTACACGCACAAAAAGTTAAAAACTCGTTTTCCACTCGCAGCAGCCGCAGCCGCCACTCACTCTTTTCTTATCTAGCTCCTAAAATTGCTGCTTACTCTGGTACTTAAAACGCCGCGGAGAATCCTCCCTGCTGCTTCAATCAGGAGGAAAAAAACGAAGAAGTCAGTCGCAACAAGTGGGCGGCACTACTTGACTCTCTGAAAATACATAAAAACGGCCAGAGTGCCTTTCGTCGGAAAAGTGGCTCCGATAAAATTTTAAGAGATCGTCGAGTGAGATGTTGGATAATTTTCTTAAATAATAATCTCTCTCGTGTACAGACAGGTAGCGCGCGAAAAATGATTTTTGCCGCTTAATTGCGTCGGCTTTTTATGCACGCATAATGAGGCATAATGATATGCGACTTTTAAACGTAATTAACCGTCAGTCTGCGCTGCAGAGTCGAAATGTTGCACGAAGCGGAGGCGAACAATATGCGAAGAAGAAGAAGAAGAAATTGCAAATGAGCTTACGTCAGTATATTAAAAGAGGCAGACGGAACGAAAACGCGCGCGTCATCCACCCAATAAAAGACGGGCCGGTGTATTATTATTTTTTGTATTAAAGTGGATAACAACGGTGCTAAAATATAGACTAGGATACTTGAAGTATTTTAAAATTTGAGATAAAAAGTGGCTCAGAAACAGCTGAACTTTATGAAAAATTAAGGAATTTCTGCCATAAATCGTTTCCTTTTATGATTTGACATGTTGATTATGAGGAAAGTTGCAGAAATTTTAGTTTTTCCAGATCGTTTGAAGAAATTGACACTCGATGAGATGATCATGGAAATGAAGAGTTCGGGCTTTTCCTGGTTGCAAAAATTGTTTTAATTAAAACATAAAACCGTTTTTAAATAAATACAACTGTTGCAACAAAAGAAAAGCCATATCTCTTCATTCCCAGTGTTTTTTCTGTACTTTTATATTTGCTAAAAACCAATTTTATAGCCCATTTCTGAAACATTTAGGAAATGGTAATTGATTTAAAACTCATAATGTTGCTGAGGTGTTAAAATCACCTTTAGAAATAACTTGCAAAAACAACAAACATGATTTACGCCTTACACCTCTGTTAATAAGATTTGCTCAATCAGGCATCTTTCAAGGATCTTCTTGTCTAGCGAAATTAAAATTGAAATTTATTGTTCGTGGAGGAAAAGGAAACCTCTCCTAAACAAGTTTTGTGTGCTCAAGAAATCATCATTTTCTCTCGCGAAGAAGGGAAATTGGCTCCATTCTTGGTGTCTCCTCTCGATTTCGCGATTTTTCGATTCCAGACGCACGACTTCTTGCTCGACAAAGGCGAATAATAATTGAAGTCGGTTTGTTATTGGAACGAATCCGCTGCTTTGCAGTGAAAGTCTGGCAAATTTCGGCACTAATTAAAAAACCGGATTGCCGTATCTGGATGGCAAAATAATGCAAACCGGGCGCAGCAATAAATTTCAGCATCGACCGTTCTCCGATTTGCACCGCTGATTAACGTAAATAAAAACAGACGCCCATTAACAAGGACACTCGCAGGTCCCGAATGCTCTTCTTCAACTTATTCTCGGTGATAAATTACACCGATAAAAAGAACCGGCAGATGCTGCAGCGCTTGCTCTTTTTGCACTCGTTAAAAGTCATGAATATGAAATTCGCGTGTGTCATCGGCGTTTCCATCTGTTCGCGAAATTGCTCTCGAATTTCGTGCAATGACCAATGCGTGGGAATCAATCTGGAGCGGCCGTTTGTTGTTCCGAGGAAATTGTTTCTAGCCGGGGGGTTGTTTTATTTCTCTTTGGACACGAAACGCTTTGAAAAAACGCGAGCGCCACTGAGCCACTTTTTCCTCCCGCTCGCAGAGCCACACATGTTGACAATCTGGATTAATTACGGCGGAACGAATTCTGACGTCACCAAACGCGGTAATTAAATCCGAACATTTGGCGCTTTCAATTATGAAAACCGAGCTGGTAGGTTTTCTGTGACGGCTCTGAAGTCTGTCATTGCTTTAATTATAGAGTGGTCGTAAATCTTTTAATTCATATCCTCCTAATTTTTTCCAGCCTAAGAAAATAGAAATTTAATTTTAAAATTATGCTTTTTAGGAAGGTTTAAAAACGTTAAGCTTAATGTGATAGATTTGAATTTAAGAATATTTAATAAACAGCTATAATTTTATTTTAAACATTAACTTGAATAATATAAATTAATAAGACAATTTTAAAGTTTACAATTTTGGAATTAATCAACTAACTAATAATTACAAAGTTAAGGATTTATAATAACTTTTGCTTAATTACAACAGAGCTATCACTATCCTTTTCATTTAAGTTATTTTTTTATTTCTAAACCGATTTCAAAAAGGATTTTTATTTTCAAATTAAGTTTTGGTTCATTTAGAGACTTTATAATTTGGCATCATAAATAATTATTTATAATAAATTATATTTCTTCAATTTTAATTAATTTTAAACATTTATTTTTACCTAATCACGTATTTTGTAAATAAATCACCGAGTTACCAATGCAAATGTGACAGAACCTCTTCGCATTACAGCTCATTACCGCAATTGGATCTAACATTAATCTAAGACATCAAGTCCAGCGCAGGCCAACAGTGCCAGTTTGTATTATTAAAATGCAACTCGCGCGCCAGTCGCATTCACGACGGAGATGGCTCCATGTACGGCAGTAAACTGCACGCGGCTGCCCTGCAACCGACCTTTTTTATACGTTTATTTCTCAAAATCTCATTATGCGTCCACTCGGCTAAGTACGGCCGATCTGACCCCGCACGTCGGTAATTGAATTCGAGCAAACGCTTCTTTTTTCGAGAGCGACATGACGTCAGAAAAAACACTATAAACTTCTGCTCTCGCGCGGCTACAAAACAGGAATACAAATCACGAATGAGAAGAATAAAAAAAACATTCGTATATAAATGCTCTGCTCGCCGGCCGGCCGAACGACGGGACGTTGCCTTTTCAGCAGCAGCAGCCCTGCTTGTTGCATACTTTACATTGTAATAATAAAAAAAATATTATTAAATTCGCCGCTCGCACTACTTGCACACACATCCTTTCCAGCAGCGACAATATGTACGCTTGCTTAACTCGCTCTTTTATATTCGCAATCGTCGTGCACTCGCCGAGGATGATTAATTTCTTCCACCCGAACCATGTCGGCGGCGGCGCAATTGGGCAATTGAAGAAGACCGATGTCGTTTGAAGGTTAAACGAAATTTATGCGCGCCACAGCGGTGAACTATCGTGCCAATCAGACGAACTTTCACGTCGTAAATTTTATAAATATAAAACCAGAAAAATTTAACGTTTCTTAATTGGCTTTTCTTGTTTGTTTTCCAGGTGCATTTGTAACCCGGGCTGGACAGGTCATCACTGCGACAGCGCCTTCCGACCTTGTGACCCGTCGCCCTGCCAGAATGACGGAACCTGCCGCATCGTCAACGAGCACAAACACTTGTGCGACTGCCCAATCGGTTTGTGTTTTTTTTTCTTCTCCAAGGCCATTCCAATCGTATAATTACACCCCGATCAAAATTATATTTTTTATCACCCGATCTTTTTTTCTATATATTCGCCAGAGGGCTAATTATTTTCGCATCAGCCCTTTGGACGGTCGTTTCTATTTTTTTTTACTATTTTTACTCCAAACCCATTCTCTCCGCCAGAGCGTGAAAAGATTATGATAATATTCTTTGGCGGTCGCGCGTCATGTGTTTCTCGGCGACGGCTCCTTTTCTCAACCCACGAGGCGTGTAATCACACACTTCCCTTTCTTAACCCCCGCACGGTTCGCGAGCGTCGCCGTCGCCCGCCCACTCGCCCAAATTACGCGTCAATTAGCCCGCCCAGGTGAGGCGCATTAACGCCTCACGTTAATCGCCGTCGATTTTTCACCCGATCGCAAAAGTCGCGCCCGTCGATGGCGCAAATTCCTCCTTCCTCGGCGGCGTGTGGCGATTAAGGCGAACATTTTGCGTACGGCCGGCTTGCTTTTGTGATCATGGGAATTTTCCCACACATACGTGCGTCCACGTTAAGCACCCAAACTCACTCAGCCGGCGCTTTATGCTTTGAAATTAGTGCAAACAGGCCGCGCTGCCTCTCGAGTGCCCTTCTAATGGTAATTACGAGAGCTCTGGACGTGTAAATGGATCGCCAGGGCCGCTTTTATTGGCCTCAAAACGCGTAATCTACCCTATCGCGGCGGCGTCTGCATCGTGTCTCTGTTTCTCCGAATAATTATACAACACACCACGCACAATATCTGGTGGTTTTGATCGGTCGGTTTATGTCCCTGGGTGTGGCGCCTCGGGGGATAAAATCTTGAGAGAGAAAAAAATATAAGAAATAATCCCAACATTATTATCCAAATCAGTCTTCAGTCTTTAGAAACTGAAGTTTGATAATTTACTTTTGAAAATAAAAAAAAATAAAAATTGAAATAAAACTAGATAAATTTTTTTTTAAATATTTTGTACAAATTTTTATTATTTTTATTGCTACTATTTCAAAGATAAATTTCTTTAAAATAATGAAGTTTAATTCAATTTGTTATTTATTTTATTTCTTTATTTTTAAATAAAATAAATAAATTAAAAATATTTAGTGTTTTAATTTTTTTAATTCAAAATTAAAAATTCTTGCTAGTGCTGGTGTCGTTTTGTCCATCAATTCCTTTCTTTTCAAATTAATTGTTTTCAACAATTGAAAATAAACAATGTGATGTAACAATTTGGACAAATAGACAATTTAATAAATTTTTTCTATCTAACATTTGCAGGTTTCAAGGGAATTCATTGTGAGATCAACATTGACGACTGCCCGCGCAACCTGTGCCAGAACGGCGCGACCTGCAGGGACGACGTCAACCGCTACTCCTGCGAATGCCCTTCGACCTTCACCGGCGAACTGTGCGAGCGCGACGTGGACGAGTGCACGATGCGCCCCAACTTGTGCCAGAACGGCGGCACCTGCACCAACTTCAAGGGTGGCTACTCGTGCATCTGCGTCAACGGCTGGACAGGCGACGATTGTTCCATCAACATCGACGACTGCGCCAACGCCGCCTGCTCCAACGGCGCCACGTGCATCGATCGAGTCGGCTCGTTTTACTGCAAATGCGCCCCGGGCAAAACAGGTACGTGGAAAATATATTAAAAATGTTTCATGCATTGGGGAATAAAAATGTAAAAAAAAATCTAGTTGGTTTCTGGAAAAAAAAAAAATGATAATTAAATTTTAAACGAGGGAATAATTAAAATGACTCGCCGTTTAAACACCAATTTGGTCCGTATAGGAGATTTTTAACGACCCTTTTGCGATCTTGTTAAGGACTATTCCGAAGGTGTTTTACGACCTAGACGGCTCGAGCCACTTGATGAACTTTTTTCAAATCCTTGTTCGCCGGCAATTATAGCGCATTTATTGATTTTCTCTCCCCTGTCCCTAATACCAAAGTTAAGTGCATATGTAAAAAAAAACGAGCACCATTCCCAAGCTTTCATTGACGCAGAAGCTATTTCTCTCACGTCTCGTTAAACCCTAGGAAAACGCTTGGCCCGTTTTCCCATGCAGTGAATCAGTTAAAAAGAGGCGCCTTTCGCTTATCAGCAGCGCAACGGCGCCTGCTCTTGCCAGAACCACCAGACTGGATAATCGAAAAAACGGGGTTTGATTTCAATTCGCGATTCGCAGGTTTGCTGTGCCACTTGGACGACGCGTGCACCTCCAACCCCTGCCACAAGGACGCCCTGTGCGAAACCAGTCCCATCAACGGTTCCTACACATGTTCCTGTGCCCCCGGCTACAAGGGCATCGACTGCAGCGAGGACATCAATGAGTGCGAACACGGTGAGAATTAATAAAAAATTAATTAAAAATTTTGGATTTACAAAAAAGTAATGAGGTGATCAAATCAAATTAAAAAACGATTTTATGTTGATCACCAAGCTGACCAACACCTTCTTCAAAAGGGCATTAATCATCTGGGTTTCAATTCCCAATTTGCTGCCTAATTGAATTTCGCCTCGAGCTTATGGACTGGACGTTGGCCTTTTTTGCCGTCCTGTCAGCAGCATCAAATTATCATTAAACGCGCATTTATTTTGGCAGCCCTCTGACTGGCCGGCGCGTAAATCTTCCTGACGCGTTCATTAGAATAAAAGTAAAAAATGATGTGATGAGCCGACCTCATCGCTGCGAACCTTAAATTAAAATCTCTTCGTGCCGCATTCGTAAAAAAAATCATCTCAATTTTCGATTTTATTTTTTTGCAGGCTCGCCGTGCGAACATGGTGGCGTGTGCGTGAACACTCCCGGCTCGTACAAGTGCAGGTGCATGAATGGCTTCACGGGTCCGAGATGCGAGACCAACATCAACGAGTGCGAATCGCAGCCCTGCCAGAACCAGGGGTCATGCCTCGACGACCCGGGCACTTTCCGCTGCGTCTGCATGCCTGGTAAGTACAACTGACAGACCGACTACTTCCAATCTTCTCAAATTACAGGCCAATCTTGTGCTTTTGTTTTCGCTTTTAAGAGCAATTTGGACGGAAAGCGTGATTTTTAAATTGGCCCTTGAAAACGAACAAATTCGGAAAGGTCAAGAGAATCTGACAGGCTTCATTGGGGCCCCGAATAGTGTTTTTATTTTTAATTTAATCCTATTAAATTTTATATTAAACTTGAGTATTTTGTTGAATTAAAATCATCAAGCTGATTTATTAAGAGAACAGATTGTCAACTTCCTACATGCAGAGTCATCAAAAGAATTAAATTAAATAATTTTTCCTCAAACCGCACGACTTCCTCTTGAATTTACCAGAAGCGCCTCCGATTTGCCTGAAATTCCTCGGAAGCCACCCGAGTCGCTGCTGCACAGCCAAACAAAGCGCGGCTGTTCATTCCGGTGGCTCTGATTACTCAGCACAGACGGTGTTATTATTTTTATACAGCCGAGAGTGTCGCGTATCTCGCCGGAATCTTTTTCTTTATTTGCTCCTCGCGCCGAGCGAGAATCGTGATCGAGACACAAGTGCAAGAAAGTGAATTATATCACTGCTGGCCGCGGCAACAAGTTAGTGCTACCGTAGAGGTCACGCTATATGGATGATTATTGACTTTGCTACATTTACTTCATCCTTTAGCCACGGACGGTCCATAAGCTACCGGCCTTTTATTTTTTTATTTTTATTTTCAATCAGACGCTCCATCTAAAGTGACTTCAAGGCTGAGCGCTGAACAAAAGTCTTCGTGATGGGCCGTGGTCCATCATCATTACGCTCCTAATGAATTTTCGTTCTTTCTTTTCTCGGCCGGCCGATCTCGACTCGAGTGTTTCGAATGTGTCTCTGCGGGGAACACACGTATTTTTTTCCTTCTGCGGTCGTGATCGGTGATATACCGACGGCGATTTTTCCCACTTGGTCATGCGGCTCGTGAATCGTTCATTGAGTTCACGCGAGTTCAATAATTCTTTTCGCCGCTGGTGTGAGATGTTCGGAAAATAAGGCTTTTGTTGTTCTTGATGAATCGGAGAAAGGAAGGTGCACCAAATATATAAATAAATAAAAATGAAATAATGTAATCAATCAACATTTCAGCCTGAAATGAAACAGTTTATTAACTTTCTATTTATTTTATATATAATTTTTATAATTATTATTGTCGTTTATTTTTCCAAATAACAATTTAATTACAAAAAAGTTATATTTGGAAAAAAACGGCAAGAAATTGCCATAATTTAGCTAAAACTTAGAGATAAAAAAACCCATCTGCCACATTGAGCCTCAAGCTTTATTTTTTTTATTTCTATTTAATTATATTATTTATTTATTTTTTTCTTTAGATGTTATTTATCCCTAAAAGGCAACACAACAATTTTCCCAGAATCGCCGGAATTTTGTGCTGGGCAAAAACGGACGCACAAAAAACGCACCCGTATGGCACCGGCGTTTAGGCCGTTTTCGTTCTCGCCGCGAGGACTTTTGATCGCGGCTGTACCTTGCCCGGTTCACTCTTTTTTTTTTTTATTCACCTCCAATATAAAGGAGAGGCGAACCTTCCTCGGCGCTCGACCAGTCCGTCTCAGGTACGCCTGCCTGATATTATAATACGCAGGGGCCGTAAATTCTCAACAGGTAGCCTCACCATCAATTTTAAGGCAGGCACGAGTTTAAATATTTGACAGTGCCGAGTAAAACAAATTACACCCTTTCCCACTAGCGCGAGTGGTCAGCACACGTCTCGACCGGGAAATTATACCAACAAAAGTGTCAAAAGCCGAAAATCTTCAACATTTCTTTATAATTTCCAGCCTTTGGAATTTTCTTTCGGGCGTTACTCTCTTGGCCGGCACTTGGAATACGATTATGCTGATTGTTGCCTTGAGTCTTCTTTTCCTGATCGGCAATAGCGTTATGTCGGTGCTGTAAAATATATGCTGCAATGAGAAAAGACGCGGACATTTTTATTGGCCCCTTTCAAACATGGAACGGAATGTTTTCTTTCAGTCCGTGCATCCCTGTTGAGAGAAAGACGGATGAAATAAAAAAAAAAAATATGAAAAACGAGGCGACGTTCCCACCGCGTCCTGTGGTTTTTCCGAAATTTTTCACCCTCTCGAGAATAAATTACGGTATCGCGCGTTGAGATCTCCGCGCATATTATATTTTCCTGATCGCAGCATGAAAAGAGTTTTTTTTTATTTTTTTACGGTGATATATAGTTGAGTGTGTTGTCTTAATATTCGAGGATAAAAAAGGCTTTTAGCAGCATCGTCGACGAACAAAATGTTTTATTCCCTTCGCGGCGCGACGAGAAGTTTTAAATATAAAATAAATGTAGCCTTGAGAGCGACTCTCGCGTCATACGGGTCCAGCCAAGAGAATAAAATAGCCTTTCGTACGTGGTGCTGGTTTAATCTCTCTCGGTCCGCCGCGGGTTTTATTGTCCCGTGCCACGCTGCCATTACATTAAGGTGTAGTCATTTTCCTCTTCAAACATAAAACAATGGCCCCTATATCATCAACTTCTCGAGACGTTCGTACTTTTACATCTACCTGCCTGAGACGCTCTGGCGAGACCCGGCTAGCAAAAAATGACATCATGCTCGATCTTCTCGGAAAGGTTAAGGCAATATTTGTCATTGGCTGCGGAATCGGCAAATATGAACAATGTATGATGAGCGCATATTTTTCGTCTTTTGATTGACAAGACCACCCGAAAGGACAGACTGGCTCGTGTGAACTACCGGCCTGGTCGTCCACAAGGGGTAATTAAAGAAACTCATCGAGCAGAACGATCGGCGATTTGCAGTTTTTATCTCGCAAGTTCCATCTGGCTTTTTTTACGACTGAAAATATAATTTCAAAGGCGGAGAGAGACGAAATATTGGGTTATCTCGGGAGTTAATCAAGATTCAAGGAAAATGGCATTTCTGGATAAAAAAGAAAAAAAAATTAAAGGCTTTAGAGAAGTCTAGAAGATGAAGATCTGTTCTCTTGAATTGACGAAATGAAAATTTTTTTAAATGCTAAATAAATGACAGTTTAAAAGAGGAAAGTTTGCAAAGCTACTATGTGATTTTGTGTATATTTTTTTGCAAATTTTTAAGTTTTATTTCTACTTTGGTTAAATATTAATTATATATATAAGATTTAATTATTTTTATTACTTTATTATAAATAAATTTTGAGAGCCTTTATTTTAAATATTAACTAACTACCGCTTACTTTAATTTTTTATTTTACAAAACTAATTAACACACCTTAATAGTTTTTCTTTAAATTTTAGACAATAACTTAATTTTAAACTAAATAAAAACTAAAAAAACCTTTCCAAATTTTCATTACAATTTCATTTAATTTTGAGAAATATTGCAATTTTTTGCTAATTCTGTTTTTGTTTTTTCACTCAGGTTTCACTGGTCGTCAGTGCGAGCAGGACATCGACGAGTGCGCCACCAACCAATGCCTGAACGGCGGCATCTGCACCGACATGATCAACACCTTCCGCTGCAAATGTCCAATCGGCTTCACCGGGACGCGTTGCGAGACCAACATCGACGACTGCCTGTCCAGTCCGTGTCGCAACGGCGGCGAGTGTCGCGACTCGATCGGCGGCTACACGTGCGAGTGTCCTCCGGGCTACACCGGCACCAACTGCGAGACCAACATCAACGACTGCCTGAGCAGCCCCTGCAGACGCGGTCAGTGTCGCGACGGCGAAAATTCCTACACGTGCATTTGCTACCCGGGCTGGGCAGGTCGGGACTGCGACGAGGAGATCGATGAGTGCCAGTCCGACCCGTGCCAGAACGGCGGCGTGTGCGAGGACATGAACAGCGGCTACAAGTGCGTCTGCCAGCCGGGCACGCAGGGCACCAACTGCGAGATCAACATCAACGAGTGCGCGTCCAACCCTTGCCGAAACGGCGCCCGCTGCAGGGACGGCTACAACAGGTACACGTGCGAGTGTCTGCCGGGCTACACGGGCGACCACTGCGAAATCGACATCAACGAGTGCAGCCAGAACCCCTGCGCCAACGGTGGCAGGTGCATCGACCAGGTCAACGGCTTCAAATGCATCTGTCCCAAGGGCTACTTCGACGCTCGCTGCCTCAGTGACATCGACGAGTGTGCCTCGGCGCCTTGTCTCAACGGCGGCGTTTGCGAGGACGGGGTCAACACTTACATCTGCAAGTGCAAACCTGGCTACTCTGGCAGAAGGTGAGATAGAAATTAATTTTAATTCTTTATTACTATTTCAAAATATAATTTATTAAAAAAGTTAAATAAATTTATTTATTTTATTACTTTTATATTTTTAAATTAATGTTATGTGTTTGTTATTATTTTAAAATATGAATAATTTATAAAACAGATCAATAAATCTATTTATTTAATTACTTTCATTTTTTTTAAACTTTTTCGTTATAATTTATAACTGCTAAATGGAACGAATTTGTATGGCAAATAATAATAATTTTGAAAATAATTATTTCCAACAAATTCAGACTCAATTTAATTTCCATTAAGCTTTTTATTCTTTAATAATGACAAATTTAAACCATCCTGGCCATGATTGAGACTCGCATTTTTTTGCTAAAATTTCTGATTAAATGCAGAATTAAACAGTTTACAGAGTTGCAGCTTTTTTCAACGTTGTCTGAATTTCAATTTGCAGGTGTCAAAACGAAATCGACGAGTGCGGCTCAAACCCTTGCCAGCACGGCGGTCAGTGCATCGACCTGCTGGCTGATTACAAATGCAAGTGCCCAGCCGGCTTCACTGGCGTCAACTGCGAGACCAACATCGACGACTGTCGATCCAATCCCTGCAAGGGTCAAGGGTCAGCGTGCATTGATTTGGTCAACGACTACAGTTGCGTCTGCGAACTGCCCTACACCGGCCGCAATTGCGAAAGCACTCTGAACCCGTGTCAACCGAACAAGTAAGAATCGCATTTCGGATTTAAATCGACAGTCTGCTAAATTTGCATTTCAATCGTTGCAGATGCCGCCAAGGCTCTCATTGCAATCCATCGTCCAATTTCCTGGACTTTGCTTGCATCTGCGAACGCGGCTGGACTGGCCGGCTGTGTGACCAGGACATCAATGAGTGCCTGAGCGCGGTGCCGCCGTGCAGAAATGGTGCCAAGTGCATCAACACTGACGGCAGCTACAGGTGCGAGTGTGCCAGAGGCTACGAAGGAAAGGACTGCCTTGTCAATACCGACGACTGTGCCCTCAGTAAGTTTTCAAATTCAATAATTTTATTTAAATTAAATTCAAATTTTTATTTAAATTTCTATCTGGATATTAAATTTTTTGTTTTATTTTTCAGATCCGTGCCAAAATGGCGGCTCCTGTCTGGATGGCATTGGCGAATACACCTGTCTGTGTATTGATGGCTTTGGCGGTCACAACTGCTCCATTGACATTGACGAATGCGAGTCGAACCCGTGCAAAAACGGCGCCACTTGCAAGCAGTACGTCAACTCCTACACCTGCACTTGTCCGCTGGGCTTCAGCGGGCCGTCCTGTGACATCAACGACAACGACTGCACGGCCTCGTCCTGCATGAATGGTGGACGGTGCATTGATGGCATCAACAACTACACTTGCATCTGCCCGCCCGGCTTTGAAGGTTTCAACTGCCAGACCCGCAGCAACGAATGTGACTCGAACCCGTGCCTGAACGGCGCCACCTGCCAGCAGACCATGTTCAACACCCTGGCACCGAGTCCGTATGGCTCACGCAAGCAAATCATGCTGCCCGGCCAAGGCTATTCCTGTCACTGTTTGTACGGATTCGCCGGCTCGAGGTGCGAGGCCATCGTCGACTGGTGCGTCTCGGAGCCCTGCATGAACGGCGCCACCTGTCGCCAGGTGGACCACACCTTCACCTGCTCCTGCGCCCCTGGCTGGACCGGAAAGCTGTGCGACGTGGAAATGGTCTCTTGCAGGGACGCTGCCTACCGAAAGGGCGTTTCGGTGGAGAGGCTTTGCAACAACGGCACCTGCGAAAATATGGGCAACAGCCATCGTTGTCTCTGCCAGGAGGGCTACACCGGTTCTTACTGCCAGGAGGAGATCAACGAGTGCGTCTCGGCGCCCTGTTTGAACGGCGCCACCTGCGTAGATCAGGTGGCCAGTTATCTCTGCAAGTGCCAACCAGGCTTCCAGGGTCTGAACTGCGAATTCAACATTGACGACTGCGAGAGGAACCCTTGCCAAAATGGCGGAAAATGTCACGACCTGGTCAACGGGTTCTCCTGCTCTTGTCCGCCAGGCACCCTGGGCATCATTTGCGACATCAACCTGAACGACTGCACCCCAGACTCTTGCCACAACGGCGGAAATTGCACCGACAAGGTCAATGGATTCGAGTGCAAGTGTCCACCTGGATTTGTCGGCCCGAGGTGCGAAGGAGACGTCAACGAATGTCTCACCGCCCCCTGCTCACCCATGGGAACCCTGGACTGCGTCCAACTGGTCAACAACTACCACTGCAACTGCAGACCTGGCTACATGGGCAGGCACTGCGAGGCCAAGGTTAACTTCTGCGAATCCTCACCTTGTTTGAACGGAGGTCTCTGTCAGCCGTCTGCCGATTTTTACCGATACGGACAAGTCTCGCCCCGCGCCTCAGGTCACACCTGCATCTGCCAAGGTGACTTCTTTGGCAAGAACTGTGAGTACTCCGGATCGATTTGCAACAACAACCCTTGCCTGAACGGCGGAATTTGCAACATGGACTCGGAAGATCCGCGAGGCTACAGCTGCAACTGCCCTCACGGCGTGGCAGGCGCACTTTGCGAGCTTGACGACTACGACGAGTGCCAGAGCAATCCGTGCAAGCAGGCCAGCTCAATTTGCAAGGACAAGATCGGCGACTACGAGTGCTTCTGCCCGCAAAAGTGGAACGGCAAGAACTGCGACAAGTACGACCCGACCTTCCCAGGCGGCCGAGTCAGCGACGAATTCCACCAGGTCGGCAAAAACGGCGGCCGCAGACCCAAGATCAGTGAAAAGGACAAGCAGAATTGCGAGTTGCGCAACTGCAGCTCCAAGGCTGGCAATCGCAGGTGCGACGAGGAGTGCAACTCATACGCTTGCGCCTTTGACGGCGGCGACTGCTCCCTCGGTCTCAACCCCTGGAAGAACTGCGTGGCCCCGATCAACTGCTGGGAGGTCTTCCAGGACAACATCTGCAACCAGGAGTGCAACAACGCCCAGTGTCTCTTCGACGGACACGACTGCGAAAAGAAACTGAACCCTTGCAACCCCATCTACGACGCCTACTGCCAAAAGCACTACGCCAACGGCTACTGCGACTACGGCTGCAACAATGAGGAGTGCGGATGGGACGGCATGGACTGCGAAAAAGAGCCGCAGACCCTGGCCGACGGTCTCATTTCCGTCGTCATCCTCATGGATATGCCAACATTCCGCCAGCACTCGAAGCACTTCCTCAGGGAAATGGGCCGGCAGCTGAGAACCACCGTCAGAATCAAGATGGACCGGTTTGGAAATGAAATGATTTATCCCTACTCGATGCTGGAGCGCGCCAACACAATCGAGAACCGCTTCGAAGCGACCAGAGGCCCCGGAGGGAAAAACGGAATCATGGTTTACTTGGAGCTGGACAACCGCAAGTGCAGTCAGGTCGAGGGCATGGAGTGCTTCTTCCACGCCGAAGAAGCGGCCGAGTTCTTGGCCGCCAGCGCCGTCAGCCACAGTCTGCCCAAGAACTTCCCAATCGTGGAGGTGCGCGGAGTCGCCGAGCCGGACACTCCGGTCGAGGACGTTCGCAACCCGTACTACATCATCCTGGGCTTCGGAATGATCCTGCTGGTGGTCTTTGTCATCTTCATCATGATCCACGGCCAACGCAAACGGGCCGCCGGAGTCACTTGGTTCCCTGAGGGCTTCTTGAAAAGCAACAGCGGCCAACGCAGACGGTCTCACCGCCGAGGACCCGACGGCCAGGAAATGCGGAATTTGAAGAACCAGCCGCCGGGCTGCTTGGATCTGGACTCAGTCATGGGCGGGATGCCGCCCAACATGTCCCACGGCCAGCACTGGTCGGACGACGACGAATCAGACCTGCCTCCTCCGAAGAGAATGCGCGGACCCGGCGACATGGCCAACAACATCGGCTACTCAAGTGACAACACCAACATCACCGACTACGAAGAGCCGGAACCCCGCGTCTGGACCCAGCACCACATGGACGCGGCCGACCTTCGCCGCCCGGACAACATGATGACCCCTCCCAGTGGCGAGACTGACATTGACGCCCGCGGGCCTCTCGGAATGACGCCTCTGATGGTGGCCGCCGTTCGAGGCGGCGGCCAAGGCACCGGAGTCGACCAAGGCGTGCCTGGCGAGGAAGCCGGCGAGGAGGAAGACGCCACCGGACAGGTGATCGCGGAACTGGTGGCTCAGGGTGCCGAGCTGAACGCCGCGATGGACAAGACTGGAGAGACCTCCCTGCATTTGGCCGCGAGGTACGCCCGCGCCGACGCAGCCAAACGGTTGCTGGACGCCGGCGCCGACGCCAACTCGCAGGACAACACCGGCCGGACGCCGCTGCACGCGGCCGTCGCCGCCGACGCCATGGGTGTCTTCCAGATCCTGCTCAGGAACCGCGCCACGAACCTGAACGCGAAAATGCACGACGGAACGACGCCTCTGATCCTGGCCGCCCGACTCGCCATCGAGGGCATGGTCGAGGACCTCATCAACGCGGACGCCGACATCAACGCCGCTGACAACGCCGGCAAGACGGCCCTCCACTGGGCGGCGGCCGTCAACAACGTGGACGCCGTCAACATCCTGCTGAGCCACGGCGCCAACCGGGACGCGCAGGACGAGAAGGACGAGACGCCGCTGTTCCTGGCGGCCCGCGAGGGCTCGCACGAGGCGTGCCGCGCCCTCCTCGACAACTTCGCCAACCGCGAGATCACCGACCACATGGACCGACTGCCGCGGGACGTGGCCCAAGAGCGTCTGCACAACGACATCGTCCGGCTGCTGGACGAGCACGTGCCGCGCTCCCCGCAAATGATCGCCGTCCTGCCCCACTCGGCGGCCCTCGGAGGGCTGACCTCGCCCACCCTGTTGACGCACCCCACCGTCATCAACACCAAGGTCAGGGGCAGCAAGAAGCAGCGCGCCACCAAGTCGCCGACCAGTCCGGACAGCGTCGACCAGCCGAGGAGGAAGGCGTCCTCCACCAAGAAGAAGCAAAAGCAGCCCGAGCCGATCAGAAGCGTCGAGTCGGCCGCCAGCTCGTTGTCGCCCATCGGCTCCCTCGAGTCGCCGCACAACCCTGGCGAGGTTCCCAGTCCTTACGACGGTAAGTTTGAAATTAATTTTTATCAATTTGAATTAAAAATGTTCAAAAATCTCCAGGTGGGAGGAAGAGACGCTTTAAACGTGTAATCAAACTACTGGAAAAAAAATATGATACAAAAATAAGCGATTTTTTTCAAAATATATTTATTATTAAAAACTTCTTTCTCTTATAAACTTCACTTTTTATATTTAAATTTATTTCTTCATTGATGTAAAATTGATCTGAAAGGAAGGAAAAAAAATTATGGTCAAGAAAAAGTTCAGATTTTTCCCTTTAAATTTATTTTCTCTTGACATTTCTTTTTTGATTAAACGTCAAATAACTAAAATTTGCACCCAGATATATGGGCGAACAATTGATAGAAACTTCACTTTGTATTTAAATTTATTTCTTCATTTATGTAAAAATGATCTGAAAGGAAGGAAAAGTTAAAATTTTCCCTTTAAATTTATTTTCTCTTTCACCTTTCTTTTTTACCAAAAAATGGCACCCAGATGTGAACAAACAATTGATATTTTAAATTATTGTTTGAATCGTTTCAATCTGAACTAAAAATCGCCAATTTTTGAAATATTTTCCTATTTCAATTAGATTTTCAACTTAGATTTTTCCATTTCTGTTTTCAGGCGTGACGCAAGGCTACACGGCCGGCATCACCCTTCTGCAGGGTCTGGAGCTGCCGCCGCAGGGTCTGCCGAACGGCGCCAAAATGCCGCCGTCGTACGAGGAGTGCCTGAAGAGCGCGTCGGCGTCGCTGCACCAGATGGACGCGTATTACTCGGTGCCCTCGCAGCCCCACCAGATGCTGCACGCGAGGCACGCCAGCACCCTGTCGCCGCCGCACTCGGCCAGCTCGGTGGCCATGTCGCCGCCCAGCTCTAGCTACGTCGGCTCGCCGTCCCCGTCCAAAATCAGACCCAACCTGCCCACGTCGCCCACGCACATGCAGGCGATGCGAGCCGCGCAACAGCAGAAGCAGATGCAGGTCAGTAACATTTTTAAATCAGAATTTTATCTGATGATTGTAATCTATTATAATTTACTCATTAAATTGAACAATTATTTATTTAAAATTAATGTTTTAGATGCATAATAATCTTTTATTTATTTATTAATATATATTTTATTTACATTATTAAATTAGAAGTACAATTTGCCAGTTAATTCAAATTTTGTGAATTTTTAATTTTTTTCAAATCTAATCAATTATTCATCATCTTATTTTTACTGTTAAATTTAATAATTATAGAAAACAATTATTAATGAGCAAACAAAAAACTTGTAGATATTTTTCCATGAAATCATAAATTTTTTTATTTTTGTTGTTTATTTGTCCATTCTGGTCCATTCTTACAATACATCGTTTACATACAATTGTTAAAAAAAATTATATGAGAGAGAAAAGAAACTTGAAATAATCAATCAAAATATGAAATTAAAAAATATGCATTGAAATGAACTTTTATTCATTTTTTTTTTCACTTCAATTTTTATTTTTAGATGAGACACAAATTGAAATATTTATTATATTAGAATATCATTCGAATTGAATTGAACTAAATTATTATCTGATTTCAGGTGAACATGCACATGCAGCAACAGACCTACGAGTACCCGCAGCCGCCGCAGCAGCAGCCGGACTCCGTCTTCCACTACTACCAGACGGCAGGTGCTGCGGGCCACTCGCCAGCCTTCTCGATGGACATGAACAGTCCCTCGTACATGATGGACACGAATCATCAGAGCCCGCAGAACACCTTCCTGACGCCGCAGCAGAGCGAAATGCCGCACAGCGTGCAGCCGGACAGTTACCCGACGCCGTCGCCCGAGTCGATCCAGTCGGCGCAGTCGGTCAACTCGCCCGACCACTGGTCGTCCACCTCGTCGCCGCCGGCCAACTCGGACTGGTCCGACTGCATGTCCAGTCCGCAGGGCATGATGTACCACCCTGGCGGCGGCGCTGCGCAGAACAAGCAGCCCGAGGCCATTTACATTTGAAGGAAGACGAAAATCCACACACACATGCGAATTCTGTGATCTGCTCCTCGAAACGGATGGAATTGCTTTTCTCTCTTTTTCTCTAATTAATCTAAGACTGTTGACGCGATCCCTGAGAGTTTTATTGATCGATAATTAATTATTTATAATACATGTCCAGCGCGCAAGTGACAGAAAGAAAGAACACTCGCTCAACTAAGAGTGCCTTCCTTCCGAGCAAGCCATATTTTGTGTACAGAGGACGACAAGTTGTTTTTTTAACAAGTGACCTTCTCAAGGTGGTGCCTTCGAAAGTGCTATAAAATTATACGAATCCTGTGCATTATTTATTCGGCAGCACTTTGGTCATTGATTTGAATTAGTCACATTTTGAATTTTTTGCTAAAAAAACTCGACCAAAGTGCTCCGCAATTTTACATTTTCCTCGCCTGCAGTCGTGCCAATTTACACATACAAAGACTGTTCTCAAAACTTGGCGTCAATTAAATTTAACAATCCATTTATCATCCCATTCTTGGCTGTCGGCGAGTGAAAATCGTCTCTTGTAAATACCATGTAATTCTCCAAAGATGCGAAAAAAGTCTTCAATTCATGAAGTTCTTCTCGAATGGATCTCGAAATTTCGCCCCCCCATCCTTTTCTCACATTGCCGCCGTCTTTGGAGAAGCTGCGTGTCTTTCCCATTCATTGTTGCTGTACAAATAGCTGTAGTGCGCGAATGCAAATTGTTTCTTTTTTATATCCAAAAAGAATTTTTTTTGCTTAACTGGGAACTTCTGTATCTGAACGAGTTGAGACTTATGGAAATTTTTATATTTAGATTTGCTCTCGTCCGCGTAGGACTGTGGAAATTAATTAATCAACAAAGTGCAATTTTAGTTGTTTCGATCGCCAAAGTGCTTTCACACGGAATTTTGAAGCATTCCAGCTGATTTGGGGGAAGTAAAATTATTTCTTGAATCTCATTTTTAGTTCTGTGCCAGATGTTTAAATTTAAATTTTAACGTCTGGGGAATTCCTCGGAGCCGCTGAAGGTGCATTTTCATCTTGTGTATAAAAAGAACTTGTAATTTTATTTAAAGAAATGGTTAAATTAAGTGTTCAAACTCGAGATCTAGGTGTAGAGTAAAAGTATGAAAATAGCAATCCAAGTGAAATGACATTGTATCAGAAAACACTTTGTAGTTTTTCAATAAAGAAGAAATGTATTTTATATTAAATAAATTCCAGGCTTTGCTTTCTATCGACCTTACCAAATAATTTAGGAAATATCTCAAAAAAACTTTTATGACAAGCAAGTTTTCCATTAAGTTTATAAGTAAAATTTAAATTATCTTTAATTTTCGCAGCTATTCAAACAGGCTTTAAAGTAGCAACATTTCAAACTTTGTACAGCCTAGTTAGCTTAATCTCACAAAGGTCCAGGTCCAGCTTGTCCAAAGGGATGTCAGACTTCCTTAACTTAATAAACAAAAAAAAGTATGGTCAAATACGGGCGTGTTTTGTTGGTGCCAGGTGCCAGCCTCACATAGAGGACCCCGATGCGCTCTTCTCCATTGGCACAGGCTTCAAAGGCAGAGTACAAACAGCCTGAAAATCAAACACCAAAAAGATTTTAATGCATAAATTAAATAATTTGTAAATGGTCAAAGGACCATTTCTTCACCAATTTCTCTTTATGCGAATGACAGAGAAAGTTGGAGAGCTGTAGACCAACTTCTTTATTTTTAATTCAATGAATTTTTCTTTTTTTTTCTATAAATTTTATCCTCCATATGGTCGCCACAAATATTTGTGTTATCCAAAATATTTATTTAAAATTTTTTTGTATCGTTAACAGTTTGATTTTTTCATTTAGTTTAATTTAGTAAGAATGTTTTGCTCAATTGAATATTTAAATGATTTCTTTTTTGTTTCCATTGAACCAGTTTTACTATATCAAAAGTTATAAAAAGAACTTAGTTTTTTTGCTAAATAAAAAGTATTATCTATGCCTTTAAAAAACAAAAAAAAATTGCTGGGTGCTGCGTGGCAAAACGCTTTCAAAATTTTAGACGATTATCACATTTACACCTCGCACCTTCTCAAATTATATAATTCATTCTGTGCAAATAAAAAAGCGTAAACCCACGAAAAGGCTGACCCGTGAAAATTCTATTGACAAGAGAGCAAGCTCCTGTGAGACTCACCTCAATCAACGCAGTTTGATACTCGTCCTCGTTCAGCTCTGGGCTTTTGGGAGGCACATCTTTGCCAAAACGGACCAGCGTTGCTTTCAGTTCTTGTACAGTCAAGATGGTGCTGGGATCCACGTCATTTTGCTTGATGACGCCACAAAGGTACTCGGTGTAGTGAGCCCTGTGAAAGTAGATTGATATATGATCGATTGTTTAAATGCAAAAGTTGTAATGGTCACCAGCCCTTTTTAACATTCATCAGCCCGTCCCGCACCAAGGCAGGCCCCCGAGCAGCATACAGATCAATTTAATAATTTATTTTTCTTATCATTTTTTTTTTAATTGTGCCACAGTAATTTGCTTGCCAAGTGGCAGCTAATTATTTTAAATTGCATATGGTTTTATTTAACATTATTTGGCTATCACAGAAATAAACTATTAAAAAATAATTTAAAAAAAAATCTTTTTTCAAAACTCACTGCAGCACATTGTTATGAAATTTTATAAAATTTAAATTAAAAGCGCAGGGTGTCAAAGATTTTGGGACAGTGGGTAATTACGTACTTGCAGAAGCCTGCGTAGCCACTAACAACCTCTTCGTCACATGTAGCATCGACCAGGCCTGAAGGTGAGTCCCTCTGGATGCCGATTACTTTGCACCTCCTTCCTCCCTCGGTTGTCTCTGGATCACCTTTTTCAAAGTCCACCATTTCTTCCTAAAACATCGATGACAAAGTAAATTAAAATTTTCAAAATTACAAGAACAATTATACAATTTTATTTAATTTTTGTGCAATACTTAATTTCTATTTTAGTTTTGAAAAATGATTAAAGAGATAAACAAAGTTCTCTAATTTAAAGGTACCATTTAATTTGAGTTAAGTTTAAAGTATAGCTTTAAAATCTTGTTTTACAAAAAAAATAATTTTTGAACTAAACTGGGGTAATCAAACATTTACTTTTGGCTTAAAATAGTTCATTTTTAGTTATACAAAAAATGCATCTTACTTGCAACAGGCGTTGCAGGTCCTCAGGAGCTTTATCTCGCATAAAGAACATGCAATTGCGATGGTGATGGCTGTGCAGACCTAGCAGATGGCAGCTTGGTCCAAATTGGCAAACGTCACCAATAAGGAAGGGTTCACTGCACCCAGAACAAAATTCGTGCTTGCAGTAAGTGCACTGCATGTGCATGCAGCCTCCTCTGGACAGTGAGAATCGGCTGTTGCAACTTGGGCACTGGACGATTTCTTCCAGGTTGCTTCCATGGTAAGACAAAATCTCATCTCCCTTGCTCTTCTCACACTGGATTTTAGAGTGACTATCGGACCACTGCAAAAAAAAAAATGAAAGTGGTTCATAACAAAAATTTACATTATTCTTAAAACTTACAATCTGCCTACAAAGCTTGCATGTTATGGAGCCGCAGTGGGGACAGGTTGTTTTTTTTCTGCCTGTTACGTCAAAGTAGCCAGCACCGCATTTTGCCTACGACAAATAAATTGTAAATAATAATTTTCTATTATTAAAAGCTTCATCACCTCGACACACCAGACAAAATCCTTATCTTTTGTTAGTGCTTCGTCTCGAACTTTTGCCTCGTAGATTTTGAACACTTCCACAGGAAGAAGTGTTTTCAATAACATGTTGGCCTGCGTCATATAATCAAGTATCTCATCCTCACACCAACTAAAAGTTAACAGAGTACATTGATAAAAAAATTATGAGTGGTTAAAAATGACATTGCACACGTTTTTCGGAGATCTTCAGGCTCGTTGCATAACATGCAGCAGATCTTGGTGGTGGCCTTTTCCCTGATTTCAGTAGTGAAAAATGCAGTAGCGCAGGCCACACAGCACGAATGTTGGCACCGCAGCATGGCTACCATCTAAAAAGAGCAGCGATTGAGTTAGATACTTAATAACCAATTTTTCTAAATGTGCCAAGTCTCAATTAAATAAACTGATATCCAATTATTATATGCCTCCATATAAGTCCATTGATTCCCAAACAAACAGAAAATATACCTGTGAAGCAGGGAATATTCTGTTGGCAAAAATTAAGATAACAAGTTATTCCTCCAAAAGATAACATAAAATGATTAATTACTTTGTCAGCCGACACAGTCTCAAAACAAAGTGGGCAAGTGTTCTCCAAAAAGTTGAGGGCTTTATCAACGCAAGTACAGTGGTGCGATGCCAAACTGGCCTCTTCGTCCGAAAACCCCATGGACATGAGCACAGCTTTTAAGGTGGGAGATTTATTTTCTTTTCCACAACTTTCCTGTTTGGTCTGAAAAGTTGAGGGCAAAATAAGTAAGTGTTGTACAAATACTTAAAAATTACAAACCAATCTGATTTTCTTCTCAGGAGGCACTTCGAGTGTCGATGAACTGGACTTGCTGCTGTCAGAAGACGACTCGTCAAAAGACGACTCTTCAGAAGACGACTCTTCAGAAGACGACTCTTCAGAAGACGACTCGTCAGAAGACGACTCGTCAGAAGACGACTCGTCACTCTCGTCAGCAGACTGGTCCACAAGGACTGCAGGTGGTTGAAGGGCAGCTGCTACATGACGGGTGGCTCGATCATGAATTTCTACCCTTAAAAAAAAAATTATTTGTTTATTCAAGTTTAAACCTTTACATTATCCATATACGTACTTGATGGTGATGGTGGACGGAGAGCCTGTACGTTTGTTTATGTCACCATGACAATGGTTGAAGACATGCTTGTACAAGCTCAGTGCAGCTAGCAATTTGTTACAGAAAGGGCACTTTCCTGCCAAAATGAACTTCTTCTTGAATGACTTCTCCTCTCCTCCATTGACAAATTTGCAGTGGACCACTTCTGATGTTCCTCCGGATTTTTTTGAAACATAGTGCTTCATTTTCGGCTTCAGTTCCAACTCTTCTCCGCAACAGCAATCAATCAAATAACTGGAAATTTTTAAAACATAAGTCATATTTACAAACATAATTAAAAAGTTGAAAAATGGATATTGGAAGTGTGGAGGGCTAACCAAATTGCTGTCGGTCTCCCGGCACAAAGATTTTACATTGATTCTGGTGTCCAATCCACCTTCCAAATCCAATATAAGTTCAAGATGTAAAACCTACATTGTTTGGCGATCATCCTCCATCGTGAAAGTTAATCGGTTATGTACACTTCTTGGTAGGTCTCCAAGTGAAAAACAATTATCTTTCACTTAAACGGCGAAGATGGCCCACAATAGTTCCGCCTTTGGTCTCTGATCTCTTTGCACAAACACCAACAATTAAAACATCCTCGACCGTTAATTTGTCTCTGCGGCTGCAAATTTTTAAACTCAATAAATCACAACTCGTCCTTGCACGGCACTAACTCTCTCACTCACTCACTGGACGCTGCACGAACAACGAACGAAAAACATAGAGTCACAGAAGTTACCTCCAACGTGAACAAGTTTGAACACGAATTCAGCCGTATTTTGACACTCCGCGCCGCTCCGCGCACACTTAGCGCCAACAAACTTGTTGAGCGAATAAAAACAAATGACAAACTCCAATCTCCAATCTGCCAAACCTCCTTGGGCTCCTTGAGCCAAAGCCAAACAAACAAAACTATAATTTATGAATAATAATTAAAATGGCTTTGTTTGTGTTGTGTATTGTAATCTCGCAATTACAATTTTTCCTAAAATATGACATGTGCATGTAGGCAAGAGACCGCTAGGTACGTTATTAATCTTTGCAACCAGGAGATCTTTTTTTAATTAAATATTCGTAAATATTTATGTATTTTATTTATGCTATAGTTAATTTTCATTACAAATCTGGTGCCGTCAGCCGTGCCCACATGGCACAACTCATTTTTAGTGTTTTTTCGAGAGATTTCATCATACATTTTTGCTGATTTACTATTTAAAATAATTCTTAAGGTGCTATGGCTAACGCAGAGAGGTTGAGCCGGTTGTGAAGACTGCCAAGCAGTTGGAGAAGGAAGCGAAGAAGTTGGCAAAGTTAGAGAAGTCAAGGGAAAGCAGGACAAGAAAAGTGTCCAAACGACTCAGACAACCAAGGAGAAGCCGAGTTATATTATTCATGTTATGATTAATCGCGCCTAGGTATGCCGATTCTTTAATGGAAAAATATTAATCTTTCATTTATATTAAGCCTAGAATTTTTGTTTAAATTACATATATATTTATAATTCTTATTGCAGAAAAAAGAGAAGGTGAAAAAGGCACCTACAGAGGCTGCTGTTTATGATATTCCAACTGAAGAAGGCGATAAAATGACACAAGCAACGCAATAATGCCGTCAATCTACAGCCCCCAGTACGCGGAGGCAACGTTGTATGCTTGGTGGGAGAAGCACGGCCTCTTCCGACCTTGAGTACAGACGAGACCTGTCCAAATAAAATCCAAAGGGCAGATTCGTGATGGTCATTCTGCTCCCTGCATTTGGGTCATGCACTCGCCAATGCCGTTGTAGACGCCATCACCAGATTGTAGTAATTTTGTTCAATCTTTTTTTTTAATTAAATATAAATTTACAGGCATCAACTGAAGGGTAAGACGACTTTGTGGGTGCCTGGCTGTAACCACGCTGGTATCGCAACGCAGGTAGTTGTGGAGAAGAAACTGGCGGGAAAATAAAATCACAAGATTTAGGAAGAGAGAAATTCGTCGGCAAAGTTTGGTAATGGAAGAATGAGTAAGCTTAGAAATTAATTAAAAATATCAGCATTTAATGATATTGAAACCTGAAATTCTCTACCTTATTAATTTAGGAAAGGTGATCGAATTAACCATCAGTTGAAGAAACTGGGCTCCTTGTACAACTGGACGCGCGCCTGCTTCACCATGGACCCTGACCTTTGCAAGGCTGTTGTGGAGGCCTTTGTTCGGCAGTAGCCAGCCGCTTGGTCAGTTGGTCATGCACCTTGAAGTTGGTGATCTCGAACATAGAAGTGGACAAGGTTGAGCTGCCAGGGCGCAATCTGCTGTCCATTCCTGACTATGAAGAGAATGTTGGTGAACTTTTCCTACAAAGTGATCGGGGGAGGAGACAGTCCTGACAAAGAGGTCATGGTTGCTACCACCTGATAGGAAACAATGCTCGGTGATACAGCTGTTGCCGTCCACCCAGAAGATCCCAGGTACAAGCACCTGCACGGAAAGTTCATGTAGCATCCATTCTGTGACAGGAAAATCCCCATTGTCTGTGATGACTTTGTGGACAGACAGGTCAACTCTGGTAAGCTTTTTTTATTTGAGGAAAAAATTATATATTCAATATTTACAATATATCAGGGGCTGTGAAATTCACTCCTGCCCATGACCCAAATGATTACGAAGTGGGAAAGCGGCACAACTTGCCCTTCATTATGATTTTCACTGATGACTGAATCATCATTGGCGATTACGGCAATTTCACTGTAATTAATTTCGTTAATTTCTAAACGTTTTTTAAGATTTAATTTTTATTAACTTTTAGGGAATGAAAAGATTCCACTGCCAAAAGGCGATTCTCTAAGCTCTGGAGGCCAAGGGTTTGTACCGGGGTAATGCAGACAATGCCATGGTTGAACCAATGTGCAGTCGTTCTAAAAATGTTGTTGAGTCCCTCATAAAACCTCAGTGGTATGTCTTGAATAGTCTTGAATATAATTTTAATTAAATTATTATTAAAATTTATAATTTTAATTAATTAATTAATAATTATATAATTAAATTTAAATAATAGACGGTTCTTGCAGGTACGTCAAATGTAACATAATAATGGCCCAGTAGAATGCCATAGTCTCTGTGAAAAACGGTGATTTGAAAATCATCCCTGAAATCCACATTTAAACATGGAACCACAGAACCACTTGATGGAGGGCATCAGGGACTGGTGCATTTCAAGTCAGCTTTGGTGGGGCCACCGAATTCCCACTTGTCTAATGGATCTAAGGCATTAGTGCTAAATAATTTCATTTTTAGTTTTTTACTTCAAATTTTTTTAAAGGACAATGTTAATGAGATTTGGGTGAGTGCAAGATCTGACGCTGATGCTTTTGAGAAGGCAGCTGCCAAGCTCGAACACAAGAACTTCAAGTGAGAGCAGGATCTGGATGTACTGGACACTTGGTTCTCGTCTGGCCTTTCCCCGTTTTCTTTAATGGGCTGGCTAGATAAGGTTTGTTGGTTCAAGTTGGGAAATTGAATTTTCTGACAGTTAAAAATAATTATAGATTGAGCTCTTATACCTCAATTCTCTGTTGGAAACTGGACATGACATCATTTTCTTCTGGGTGGCGAGAATGGTGTTCTTTGGCCAGCACCTTCTGGGGAAACTTCCTTTCAAGTAAGAAGTACACTTTATTCTGAATTTTACTGCATTTTTAAATTAATAGGGAGGTTTTCCTATATTCCATGGTGAAAGACGCTCATGACCGTAAAATGAGCAAATCATTCGGAAATGTCATTGACCCAATGGATGTGATCACTGGAATTTCGCTAGAGGTAAATTACTAAATTCAACCAAAGGCTATACTTCCAATTTATTTATTATTTAGGACGTTCACAAAACTTTCAGAGGCAGCAATTTAGTTCCCATAGAAGTAGAGAAGGCAAAAGCTGGCCAAAAACAGGATTACCAATGTGATTCCAGAATGTGGCGTCAACGCTCGCAGATTTGCTCTCTGTGCTTATTTGGGCAAAGGTTTGATTTTTTTTTAGTGAATTTCGATTTTTAATTATCTGTATTGACCCAGGTTGTGATATTAATGTGGACATTTTACATGACTGTGCAAGGCTACCGCTTCTTCTGCAACAAGTTGTGGAACGCTGCCAAATTCTCACTTCAGCGCCGACTTCCAACCAACTGCTGTGAGTTTCGTTACTGATGATTCTTCATGTGGTGGTGGTCTATCGGCTCAGACTTTACATCTTCTATACAAATGTTGCTTGGCCCAAATCAAAAGTATGTCTCAGCTAGATTACCTATTTTACCGACCACAGCTACTTCAAGGGCTCTGCGCATTCCTCCTTTGACTCTCAGCTTTTATCGACTCTCATCCGCATTTGTTAACTTGAACATGTGGATTTGCCTCGCGTCCAGCTTTAGGAAAGACGCGCAAACCAAGCCAGCAAAATTATCTGCAAAGGTGGAAGATTACGTCCATGCCTGTTAAAAACTTCTAAAGCTGCTTCCTTCTGCAATTTAAATTTACAACTTAAATAAATGCATAAATCAGATCTTCGTAGGAATATATTAACAAGAACAAGCATGCTTACCTATATTAACTACTTAAAATGCAAATCGATTCTTCCTTATTACTGTAATATGATTTATTTACACATAATTTTAAAAATTTTAGGATGTTTGTCCTGAAAGTGTTGTCCATTGACAAGTGGATGCTGAGTTGTGAGTGGCCTACGCTGTTGAAACATGTAACAAGGGCTTTGAGAATTATGATTTCCCGGCAGCCACTACTGCGTGCTACAACTTGTGGCTTGACAACTTGTGTGACGTGAACCTGGAGTGCCTGAAGCCGGTCTTCAGTTCTGGCGACGAACAAGCAAAGACGGCAGCCCTAAACGCTCTCCACACCACCCTTGATGCGTCCCTGAGACTGCTCTTGCCTTTCATATTCATGCCTTTCCTGACTAAAGAGTTGTATCAGCGGCTGCCAAGAAAAAACGAATCATCAACGCCAATTATTTTTATCGCATCTTATCCAGAAGTAGAAAATGTAAGTTTTAATAAGAATGCCATTTGATAAATCTCATAAATTCTCAATGAATGATTTTTCATTTTATTATTATGACAGTGCTCTTGGAGAGATGCTTATGTTGAAAACAAACTGAAATTTACTCAGAAGATTGTCAAAGGAATTCGGTCTGCCAGATCTAACTACAATTTGCTTAACAACGTCAAAACCGAATGTATTACTATTGATTGAGATTTAGATTTTAATCTAATTTTGCAGTCTTTGTGAAATGTTTAGACGCCAAACCTAAGAGCCAACTCCAGCCGCTGAGCTCTGTGATTAGCACCTTGTGCTACTGCAGCAAAGTTGAGTTTGAAGAAGCTCCCAGTGCTACCGGCTGTGCAATTCGGACCGTCTGCGACAAGTGTGAAGTTCATCTTGTACTTCAGGTACCAAAACATTTATTTCATTTAATTGATCATAATTAATTTCTTTATTCTGTTAGGGTTTGATTGACCCTGCCAGGGAGTTGGTGAAAATCGCCTAAATATGGACCTGCTGCGGTCAACAGTGACCAAGCTGGAGAAGGACATGGCCAAGCCGGATTACGAAAGTAAAGTGCTGGCAGATGTACAACTTGCCAATAAAGAGAAACTGGAGTCGGCAATTGGCAAGATGGAAAAGCTAAGTCTAGCTGAAAAAACACTTCAAGCGCTTTAAGTAGCCACAAATTTTGAAACTATTATATTTATTTATAACTGAGAAATGTGTCCCGGAAAAAAAGTTCAACCCTCAAAATTAAACTCCTTATTGGCCGGAGATGTTGCGCCTTTTCTTCATCGAGCCTCCACGATACCCAGAGGGGGTTGGCGTCCTTCTTGGATGAACTCTGTCCCTTATTTAACTGGATTATGTATTCTGTACCCCGTTTAATATTAAATTAAACTCCCGCAGAAACTATTAGTGGACTTAGGTGCTAGTTGCTGGAATTAAACATAGAATATTTGCAACGGAATTTATCATGAATATTTTATTATGGAACTAATTCAATCGAATATACAAAACATAATGTCAGATTAACCTCTATTATTCACAGTTCATACATTTTGCTCACTTGTTATTTTACTAGAAATGCAACGTCTTCCGTGGTGAAAGGGAATCAATTATGTGTGTAAGTGTGTGCGTGAATGGAGTTACGCATAAATAAATTATCCGCAAAATAAATCGCCTCCAAACAAATACTTGCGCGGCCGCCCTATATCTTGCGTCCCGTTGTATCTAGCGATGCAATTCGCCTAACCATTAAACACGCGCGCCCATCCAAAATATATTTCACAAAGCTGTGCTTACAAAAGAAACGCGGCTTAGCCTGCAGCAGAGCGCGGCTCATGCCTGATCGAGAGCGAGTTGTCGGTGCCATCCGCCATCGTGCGATTCGAACATCCGGTTCTCCAACGAGATATCGGTGCCCGAGAGTAACTTCAAATGCCCCGTGCTCCAGCCAACTCCGCCTTTTATACTTTTCAGCATCCCCCTTTTTTCTCTGCAGAAACTAAATTATTCCGTCGCAGTGTCCTTTGCGCGCTTAGTTAGAATTAAATATTCTGCGCATCGTGAGCTAAATGCCCCAAGTGGTGGATCAAGAGCGAGCGAAAATGCTTAGCGCGCCTTCAAAGTGACCTTTGATTTAATCTATTTTCGCCGCAGTGCGTTAAGCTTTCCTCATATTTTGGGTAGCAGAACGTCGTTGGGCCGGCCTTCCATGGGGCGTCTCGGCGTTGCCATGGCTACCCTTATTTGTATATAAGTGTCGGCGTCTTCGACCGACCTTCTTTCTTTTATGGTCACGGGAGTGGCCAGCGGAGCACGCGCCGGCCTACTTGCCACGTGCAGATCAAATCAGCCCGTTTTGCCTGAGACTCGCCTAATTATCCGCCCTGCGAACAAAAGTCCGCAGTGCGTAAGCCACCGAGGGCCTTGACCTCGAGGATTCCGCAGCGTGTCGTGCCTGCTCGCCGCACGTGCCGCTGCTTCATCCCTTAACTATTTTCACACCCTTATTTGAGGAACTCCCAATGCAAACTGTCATTCTTTTAACAACGATCTTTATTTGATTTAATTTCTGAAAGGCTTGCCATCTTTTTGCTTGCTCTTGCTTTTTTACAAGTAGTTATGCAACTGGCGCGACGCTAATGTTGCGCTGGCTGCCTAAATTTATCATCCGTGCAATTCATACGTCCGTGTACTGAATTTTTTTGACTGGCACCGTGATTTTAACTTTTAATTTTCTCGTGCATCTTATCATCTAATGGTACTTAAAAATCATTTGTACTTCTGTTACTAATTTCAGTTTGGTTTAATCTTTTAATTTTGAACAGAATTCGGATTATCATTTTATAGAATTTAATTATTTGAAAATGATGTATCCTGGGGAGAATACACTCACTAAATATTGAAATCAACTTTCATAATTTCACATGTGTAAGTTTTGTCTTTTGGTTTGATAAATTTACCCTTTAGTCTAGCTTTCATGCATGTCAATACAAACGCAGCTAAAAGTGGTTATTGTTCTGGTCTTGGAGCCGAAATGTTTGTTCAGGCTTGGGTTCTTGAACATCAGCAAGTTGTTTCAAATTCATTTTCACATCTCTCTGGGTATTTGAAAATGGAAATATGATTTACATCTAAGAAGGCTCATTAATTTAATAAACTACTGAACAGCCCTTAAAGACACCAAAATATTGCCAGTGTCTTAGCTCAAATCTCAAAATCAGAACTCAATTCAATTAGAATTAAATTTACATTTCCTTTAAAAAAAAAAAACGGCAAGACACACCAACACATCAATAGAAACGGATTTATACTTATTATGAAAAGTTACAAATTGAAAACATTTGTATTAGCAAAGCAGTATTTGAATTAAGTCTTAACGTCTAATCCATTGATGCAGATGAGCAAGCCATTTTATTTTACATAAGCTAAAAAAAGAATATGATCTGCAAATAAATGAAAAAGCTAACAATAATACAAGATTAACAGATGGTGCACCATCCAAGACGGAAGAAGCTTGAGCTGGAATGGCCACTTTAGGCGCAGGTTGTGGTTGAGTAGCAAGCTGGATCTGCTTGGCCTTAACCAAAGGGAGCAAATTGGTGCAGTCCTTGCAAACTTCAGGCAGGATTCTGTAGTGGACCAAGTATAGTCAAAATAAAAATTTATTCAGTGGAAAAAATAAAGGGAAAAGTCGCACCTGGTCTTGGTTGTAGATGACATACTCAGGAAACTGGGGACCAACATTGATAGTTTCAGGCCGAGCCACAACTGTGTCAACTTTGGAAACTGACGCCTAAATAATATTCAGTTTCCAGTTGTAATTGTAACAGTCAAATCGTTTTGTTTTGAGGCGCGTGCATATCGACAATATCAAAAAACGACATCATCTAAATTAATTATCTTACACTGGTTTTAATTTGCGGAAGGAAAATTATTTGATAAAACCAAATCGCTGACATGAGATTGAGTTTCAACATTTTGACCTTGTTTGTGGTGGCGCCGCCGATTTTCTGGGCATTGTAAGATCAAAAGGTTTCACTTTAACAACATATATAATACTCTAGATCAGTTTTAATAATTTGCATGCGTAGAAAATTGGTACATGGGAAAAATTTGGCATTCTAAAATAAAATTTTTTGGTAGTCCTAACTCGGCAGGAGCGTACAATTCGTTCTGCGCTCACGGGCGAGCGGTTTGGTTTACTTGACAGCAAGCAATTGCACAGAAGGCCAAATTCATAATTATGTTTATATTTTAATAAAATCCTAATTTGGCATAACAGAAAAATGTTTTGTGAATATTTAAAATAAAATATAATAAAAAATAATTTTTTGATAATATTAAAAGCATAATTTAGTTGATTATATTTTATAATCATTAAAATTAAAAGAAAATAAAATTTAGTTTAAGAATTTCTAGTAACTTATATAAGTGATTTTATATTAATAACTTATAATATTATCTTTACACCAGCATCATAACGCCAAAACTTTTTTTTTTAGTTTTTTTTTGCCCTTGTAATTGAAAATTTTTGTAGCCAATTATATAGTTACTTTCTAAACACTGTGTGGCAAATCTAAAATTTATAGACTTTTCGAAAACAAGCTATGAAAAACAAGTTTTTTAAAAAAATTGAAAACTAAAATCTACTTTTAATACTTTGATTGATATTTAACTTGCTGCTGTCGATTACGAATTGCTGTAACTGTCCAGATGCCTGAAAAGGACGAGGTGACAAATGTGTGACCAGGGCGTCCGTGTGCCTGTGAGCCGGTCGTTGCAAAGTTGCAAAATGATTAAAATATAAAATACCAAATTCCTTATTTTAACGTAGGCGCTCCCCCAGATTTCCTGTGCATATTTGTTTTTGCTTTGTAGGCGATGCGCTACAATAATGTGCCATGATGAAAAAAGCAAACTTGAACCAAGAGTAAGAGAGTGAAAAAAAGTTATAATATATTTTATGAATTCCATACGCACAGAAAAGTTTTTTATTAATTTTTCAAACATGACTAATACAATCAAATGGAATAGAGAATTGTGGCGTCACTTTAGAAACCGCAGAAAAATTTTCATGACAGCAGACATGGCAGACACATTCATTAAAACAACATTAATATCAAATTTTTAGCATGTGCATCAAAATTATTCACTTTTATTTATCAAATAAATATTTTTTCCAATAAAATATTCGTATTTAAATAATAATTTGGCATCCGAGACGAGAGCTTAGTTTAAGTCACTTGACAGCAACCAATTGCAAAGCGGGCCAGGTTGATATTTTATATAAGTTAATAAAAATTTAATTTTGTTTGATAAAAATTTAGAATAAAAACATTTAAAAAATATAATGATACAATAATAATTATATACATAATTTAAAATTATATAAAATATAATAAAAATTTTTAATAAAAGTCAATTTTAATAATTACATTGGTTATTTTTTAAAATCATTAATTAAAAATTTAATTTAAGAATTTAAAAACAATGTTACTAAATAATTATTTATTTTCATAATTTATTATAATATCTTTAGCATTATAACGCAAATATACTTTATTTTAAGTTTTCATGCCTTGGAAATTGTTCATAGCCATTTATATACAGTTTATTTCTAAACACAGAGTATGGCAAATTTGAAAATTAAATAAAGATAATCCGACACCAGTCTTTAAAAAGAATCGACTACTTTTAAAATTTAATTCTTTTTTAATACTTTGATATTTAACTTGCTGCTGTCGATTACAAATTGATGTAACTGTCCTGATGCCAGAAGTGGTCTCTGTAGGACGCGGTCAAGTGTGTGACGAGGGCGTCCGTGCGTCAGTGAGTCGGACGACGGCGGCCGAGCCGACGGGCTTCTTGCGCGGACACAACTCGAGCTGGAAGGAGTTGCGATGTTAGGTGCTTTAGGAGGGCAATTGTCCAGTTCCGGTCTGGCCTATTGAGACCTGAACCCAAAGAGGCGCCCTGGCCCTTTTTAACATTCATTAGCCCACCTCCCAGCAAGGCAGGCCCCCGCGCCGCATGCAGATCATTTTATTAATTTTTCTTATCAATTTTTTTTTAAATTATGCCAAAGTTAATTGCTAGTGTTATTATTTTAAAATTGCATTTGGTTTTATTTTGAATTATTTGGCTCTATCAAGGAAATAAATCCTTAAAAAATAAATTGCAAAAGAAAATCTTTTTTCTTAACTCAAACTCACTTAAGCCAGTGCTATGAGAGATTCCATAAAATTTACCAAATTTACATTAAAAACGCAGGGTGTGCGCAGCCACGAGACTACCACAATTTAATATTTATATATCAAATTTTTTCTTACGTAAAATTGAATTTAAATATTTAATGTGAACGAAAATAAATAATTAAGTAATGCTAAATTTTTGTTTTCAGACTACAAGGCACACAAATATTATTTAGCAAAGCATGCTCTCGATGAATTTTATAAGAGCAAAAGGTCAGATTGATGTGTTTATATTTCAATAAAATTTGAATGTATCAAAATGGAAATATCTTTTGTGCAATTATATTATAATAATAATAAATAATAACCAAATAGAGGATATTTAAAAATACTTATATATAAAGTTTAAATAATTTAATTGATTATATATATTATATAATAAACAAAATAAAATTAAAATTAAGTTACAAAAATATAAATTAACAATTAATTTTGTAAACAATTTTTATATATAATTTTTAGCCAAAAAATATGAAGCAAAATAAGTACTTCTTAATTAGCCACTGAATCACGCTGCCAGTTTATTGTAATATGAAGCCAAGGCTCCACATGCGGCCAGCGAAGCAGTGCGATTAACTCGCGCGTTCAATCGGCAATCGGTCTCACGTCGTCGGACAAAAACGCGTGTCAAAATTTCATATATGGGTGCGCTCAACAATGTTGCGCTCGCGCTCAATTTTTTAAATAGTCTTGCGCTCAAAAATATTTTTACCCAAAGAAAAAGTGCGACCTTTTAGACAATTTTTTTAATTTAAAAAAATCCAACGGCAATTGAAAATGATAAAGTTGAAGTTAAATTACCAAAATTTGGATCAGTTTTGAAGTTTTTAGTATAAAAACACTTTTTTCGTTACAATTTTTGATCAAATTTGGGAATTTTTACTTTTGGTTTGAGCGCAAAATGAGCGCAATTGAGCGCTGCGCTCGGCGACCAATGCGCTCACGCTCACGATTTTGATAATCATGCGATCGCTCTGCGCTCGCGCTCATGAGCGCAGAGCGCGAGCGCACATCGCATAGCGCAAAGTGCGCTCTGCCCATGTATGCAAAATTTAGAGGTGCGGCAGGAATTTTGAACCAGCAAAATTTTTTTTTAATTCTGGAATTAAGTTGTTCGATTTGTAGAACAAAATTTGTCCATTTTTTTTTTTGAATTTTCTAATCATCTTATCAATTGTAAAAATAATTTTTCGTATATTAGACTGCGGCGTTTGTGGCGCGCGACTGGAGCGTCTTCATGCAGACGCCACTGTCGGTGGTCATCAGCCAGATGGAGACGCGCCACGTGACCAAAAAGGTCCGCGAGTACCTTTTCGAAGGGTACGAAGACCCTCTGATTTCGCTCGCAGACACGCTGCCCGCCCTCGCACAAATCGACATTCCATTCGACCGATTCGGCTGGTTTTACAAAGTAAAAATTTCACAATTTTTAGTTTACATTACAATTAATTAAAAAAAACTTTTTAGAGAAATAATTCTGATGAGTACGACGGTTTCTTCAATATGGACACGGGAGCGGACGATTTAAACAAAGTAATTTTTTTTGAGCCAATTTTGTATATTTTTAAAATTTGTTTTATGCGATTTAAATTTAAGGTGGGTCGTCTCAGAAACTGGAATTATGTCAACAGAACAAACTATTTCCCTTCCACTTGCGGAATGGTTAATGGCTCGGCAGGTGAACTTTGGCCTCCAGGGCAGACCAAGACCAACATTTCCATGTTTTCGCCTGACCTTTGCAGGTGAGTTTCAATTAATTACAAGTGGAATTCAATTTATTTTGAAAATTTTGTAAAAATATTGATTGTTTTAAGGAAAAAATTAAAAAAATGCAAATCTTTTCTGAAGCAAAAATTGGATCTATCAGGTCCCTGCTTTTACAATTATAAAACGGTGCTTAAATTTATACACTTTTAATTTCTTTACAACGAATTTTTCCTCCCAGGTCACTCACCTTTGGCTACACAGAGGACGTTGACGTTCACGGCGTGTCCGGCTATCGCTACTCGGGCGGTCGCAACATTGTGGACAACGGGACGGTGGACGCGGACAACTGGTGCTTCTGCAACGGCGACTGCCTGCCCATCGGGGTGGTGAACGCGTCCAGCTGCCGCTACGGCGCCCCAGCCTTCGTTTCCTACCCGCACTACCTGATGGCCGACCCTTACTACACGTCCCTCATCAACGGCATGAGTCCTGAAAAGGAGAAGCACCAGTTCTACGTTGTTCTGGAACCGGTAAGAAATAAAAATTTTATTTTTTAAAAATATTAATCTGAATTATTAAAAATGTACAGATTTAATTGATTTAAAGTTAAAATGTGTAAAGTTCTGGATAATTTAAAAAATTTCAGACAACTGGAATTCCTCTGGATGTTGCTGCCAGGTTCCAAATCAACATCCTCCTTCAACCTGGTCAGTATATAAGGTAAATTAAATATACAAGTAAATTTTTAATAATATATCATAGAAAAATCCCGAATGGGTTCTCTGAAAATAAAAATCAAGGGCAGCCATGTTGCTAATCTTTGGAATTATTTTAAGTCTTTTAAAAAAATAATAATAATAAATAATATTTTTATAATAAAATCACTGAAATAATTCAGCATGTACAAGCGGGTGCCGAGAGTTTTCTTCCCAATCATCTGGTTCGAGCAGAGGGCGACGATGACCCCAGAAATGGCGTCGTCGCTGCTGGCCTTGTTGGCCCTGCCGAGCAATGGTGCCATCGTGGGAATGGTCATGGCTGTGGTCGGAGTGGCCGCCGTCGTAGTGGCCATTTCTTGCCTCATTCGTCTGAAAGTGGCCAAAGCGTCCGAGAAAAGGTGCAAAAAGTAATTGAACTATCTATTTTGAATCCAATTTTAAGATTAAAATTTAAAAAACAAACATTTAATGAAACATTTAATCTTGATTGAAACAAAATTTATCATCACTTGGGAATTTTTACGAATTTTTTTTTTATTTCAAAATGAGTAAAATTTTTGAATTTTAGCATCCAACTGAACACGTCCGAGTCGGGCTACCCGCTCATGAAGAAGACTGGCAACGGCCAAGACCGAAAAGTGGCCAAGGAAGAGACGGCATGACATGCGGCCAATGGTGGCCGCACTGGCCGCCCGTCCAGCAGGGCAATCGTCTATTGCTCCAACGTGTGAATCGTGTCTGCGCCACTCTTGAGCTGGATTTGGCCACCATTGGTGTCTGTTTTGTCAAAAGTGACTGTATCTTCGTGTGAACCAAAATCTCGTTTAGGATGCTTATTTATAATTTAAATATATGAAATCATTTTTGGAGCAATTTCTTGTGATAAAAAATGAATAATTTTGATGCAGAGACTGATAGGGCGTTTGAAGTGATCGTGTGTTTCTTTTGAGATTTTCCTATACATTCTATAAAATTTGATATGATTTGATACTTATTTAGTTTTAATGCAAGTGTCTGTCATTTTTTTGTCCTAAAAATTTTAATCCGGTTTTAAAGAATTTAAAGTGACAGCAAAATACTCTATTCCAATTAATTAATGATTGAAAAATTAATAAAAATGAGTTCTGTATGAAAAAATTCATATAAAGTCACCCTCTTTTATTTCAAGTTTGCTTTTTTCATCTGAAGCTGATCTAAAGGCACATTTTTTTGTAGCGCATCGCCTGCAGAGCAAAAATAAATATGCACAGGAAATTACAGAGGAGCGCCTTCGCTTTGTAATAGTAACCTGGACAATTGCCCTCCTAAAGCACCTAACATCGCAACTCCTTCCAGCTCGAGTTGTGTCCGCGCAAGAAGCCCGTCGGCTCGGCCGCCGTCGTCCGACTCACTGACGCACGGACGCCCTCGTCACACACTTGACCGCGTCCTACAGAGACCACTTCTGGCATCAGGACAGTTACATCAATTTGTAATCGACAGCAGCAAGTTAAATATCAAAGTATTAAAAAAGAATTCTTTTTAAATTTTAAAAGAAGTCGATTCTTTTTAAAGACTGGTGTCGGATTATCTTTATTTAATTTTCAAATTTGCCATACTCTGTGTTTAGAAATTAACTGTATATAAATGGCTATGAACAATTTCCAAGGCATGAAAACTTAAAATAAAGTGTATTTGCGTTATAATGCTAAAGATAATATAATAAATTATGAAAATAAATAATTATTTAAAAAAATTTTTTAAAATTTTTTAATTAAATTTTTAATTAAATTTTTAATTGATGATTTTAAAAAATAATCAATTTAATTATTAAAATTGACTTTTTACTTTTATTAAAAATTTTTATTTTATTATATTTTATATTATTATAAATTATATAATTATTATTATATTATTATATTTTTTAAATGTTTTTACACTAAATATTTATTATAAAAGAATTAAATTTTTATTAACCTATATAAAATATCAACCTGGCCTGCTCTGCAATTGGTTGCTGTCAAGTGACTTAAACTAAGCTCTCGTCTCGGATGCCAAATTATTATTTAAATACGAATATTTTATTGGAAAAAATATTTATTTGATAAATAAAAGTGAATAATTTTGATGCACATGCTAAAAATGTGATATTAATGTTGTTTTAATGAATGTGTCTGCCATGTCTGCTGTCATGAAAATTTTTCTGCGGTTTCTAAAGTGACGCCACAATTCTCTATTCCATTTAATTGTATTAGTCATGTTAGAAAAATTAATAAAAAACTTTTCTGTGCGTATGGAATTCATAAAATATTATAACTTTTTTTCACTCTCTTACTCTTAGTTCAAGTTTGCTTTTTTTCATCTGATGCTGAACTCATGGCACATTATTGTAGCGCATCGCCTACAAAGCAAAAACAAATATGCACAGGAAATCTGGGGGAGCGCCTACGTTAAAATAAGGAATTTGGTATTTTATATTTTAATCAAAAAAAGCAAAAACAATATACGCTCAGAAAATATCATAGCGAATCGCATTAGTTTTGTAAAAAATTAGCAAGAAGCCCGTCTGCTTGGCCGCCGTCGTCCGACTCAGGCTACGGACACATGGGCGCCCAAGTCAAACACTTGACCGCGTCCCACAGAGACCACTACAGGCAGTTCAGGCATCTGGACATTCACACCAATTCATAATCGACAGCAGCAAATAACTTAAAAGTAAAAAATTCTTTTTTCCAATTTTATACAAATTATTATTATTATTATTATTTAGATAAGTGTCGAAAAGTCTTTTTTTAGATACAAATTTGCCACAAACAGTTTAAAGAAGCTATTCATTGGCAGCATGTAAAAAAAAATTTATTTGTACAAAAATTATTTTAGTGATTTATTATTTAGCTAGATAAAAACTAATTATTAATTTTTAATAAGAATAATTATAATAAAAATTTGTTTAAATTTTTTAACTTAATTTAATTTTATTTAGTTCAAATTTATTCATTAAATTATTTAGATTATGAATGAATCATTCTTATGAACTTTTGTTTGCTACAATAAATTAAAATTTTAATGAAATAAATAATATTAATCTGGTCTTAAGTAGTAAACTTGGACCCCTCTCAAAAGAGGATTTGCAGTCACTTGGAGAAGTCGTTGATGAACGAATGCAGAAATTTATGGATTTATTTGGACCCAAAGTTAATCAAATAACGTCAGATATCTCAGAGATAAAGGAGCATAATTAGGAGCGGCAGAAAATAATTGAAAATTTACAGGAAGATAATAAAGAGTTGAGGAAAAGATTGGCCCAATTGGAGAGAGCGGCTCGTGCAAATAATATTCTTGTGTTTGGAATTAAGACTGCCACTGAAATTAACACTGCTTTAATCGTGTCACTAAAGTCTTGCTGAAATTAACTGAGTTGCCACAAATTGAAGCAATGTATAGAATAGGAAAATCTGATGCGGCTAAGCGGCCTATTTTGGTCAAGTTTAAAACTCAATCTGATAAGCGCATAATTATGTCTGAAGTAGCTTCTCTAAAAAGAACAGGCGTCACTATAGGGGACGATTTAACACCAGAGGAGCAGGCGGTGAGACGTACAATTGTTGCTGCTTCGAAAGCTGCTAAAGAAAAAGGTGTAGTTAGCACAATTCGGCGAAACGGACTGATCATTGGAAATAAATTTGTTAATCCTGAGGTGTTGTTAGTTGACCCAAATTGGCTACAGAATTTTACAGAAATATCAGGACTTGATAATAATTTGCAGGCGCGGCCGGAAAAGCGAGCACACTCACCGACTGATTTAGGTGCAGACTTAGAGTCCATTGAAACAGAAGTTGCGAGCGCGGGTTTTCACAAACCCCGCAGCAACAGTACAGGCAGCAGAAGGATAAGGAATGCGGGAGATGCGACCCGGAGCAGCAGCAGAGACAAGCGAGCGAAGCAAAATTATAATCAAAATTTTCTTTGATATATAAAAATGATTTTATTAGCATTAATGATTATGTATCTCAAAACCAAATTCTCAAAGTAATTTTTCTTAATTGCTGATGTAAACCAGCACATTGTGCTTTTTCGGCACTTGCTAGCTGAAAAAGTAATTGATATTATAGGAGTTTCAGAAACTTGGCTCAAAGATAAGCATGCAGATAACCTAGTTGATGTGATTGGTTATAATATTTTACGCAACGATAGGGAAGGTGCACGAGGAGGTGGAGTAGCGATATATTTAAGGAAGGGTTTAAAATATAGGAAACTGGCAGCATCTCCACAAAATAATAATTTGCAACTCACAGAATATATCTTGTGTGAAGTGGAGCAGGTGAATGGAAACATTTTAGTAGTATGTTCTGTCTTTGTATTTTTTGATGTAATTTCTCTCCCTTGTAATCAATGTAATTTATAATATTGAATGTATGGATGATGTATTTGGGCAGAGAATGCCCGGTGGTACATTAATAAACACAATTTGCAACTAAACTTAAATTATTCAACAAAAGAAGGTGAGCTATGTTTAGGGGCGATGCGCTACAAAATTGTGCCTTTAGATCAGGGCTTTAGATGAACAAAGCAAACTTGAAATGAAAGAAAAAGAGTGAAAAAAGTTAGTATTTACATGCAGGAATTAGTTTTTATTAATTTTTCTAACATGATCATTACAGACAAATTTAATAAATTCCTTTAAATCAGCAAAATTTAATTCAAGGGTTGATTTAAATTAAAACTGAAGCAAAAGAATTACAGAAATTCAATAATAAATAATAATATAATTTATTTTAACAAAGAAACAAAATGGGCAAATGTTGTTCTATAAATTGAACAACTTTATTCCAGAATTAAAAAAAAAAATTTGCTGGTTCACAATTCCTGCCGCAACTCTAAATTTTGCATACATGGGCAGAGCGCACTTTGCGCTCTGCGCTCATGAGCGCGAGCGCAGAGCGATCGCATGATTATCAAAATCGTGAGCGTGAGCGCATTGGTCGCCGAGCGCAGCGCTCAATTGCGCTCATTTTGCGCTCAAACCAAAAGTAAAAATTCCCAAATTTGATCAAAAATTGTAACGAAAAAAGTGTTTTTATACTAAAAACTTCAAAACTGATCCAAATTTTGGTAATTTAACTTCAACTTTATCATTTTCAATTGCCGTTGGATTTTTTTAAATTAAAAAAATTGTCTAAAAGGTCGCACTTTTTCTTTGGGTAAAAATATTTTTGAGCGCAAGACTATTTAAAAAATTGAGCGCGAGCGCAACATTGTTGAGCGCACCCATATATGAAATTTTGACACGCGTTTTTGTCCGACGACATGAGACCGATTGCCGATTGAACGCGCGAGTTAATCGCACTGCTTCGCTGGCCGCATGTGGAGCCTTGGCTTCATATTACAATAAACTGGCAGCGTGATTCAGTGGCTAATTAAGAAGTACTTATTTTGCTTCATATTTTTTGGCTAAAAATTATATATAAAAATTGTTTACAAAATTAATTGTTAATTTATATTTTTGTAACTTAATTTTAATTTTATTTTGTTTATTATATAATATATATAATCAATTAAATTATTTAAACTTTATATATAAGTATTTTTAAATATCCTCTATTTGGTTATTATTTATTATTATTATAATATAATTGCACAAAAGATATTTCCATTTTGATACATTCAAATTTTATTGAAATATAAACACATCAATCTGACCTTTTGCTCTTATAAAATTCATCGAGAGCATGCTTTGCTAAATAATATTTGTGTGCCTTGTAGTCTGATAACAAAAATTTAGCATTAATACTTAATTATTTATTTTCGTTTACATTAAATATTTAAATTCAATTTTACGTAAGAAAAAATTTGATATATAAATATTAAATTGTGGTAGTCTCGTGGCTGCGCACACCCTGCGTTTTTAATGTAAATTTGGTAAATTTTATGGAATCTCTCATAGCAC